TCAGGGAGCTAGGAGTAAAACATGCCCAGATGCTAACTCTAAGAATAGCTTTTTAAAAAAATGTAGAAATGCATGCAAATTCGTATAGTAAAAACAGTATTGCAATGTGAAGCAAGCTATAAAGTTTTACTCTAGGACATAAATGCCTGAAAAATAGAGAGATACAGCATGTCTTTTAGTGGGACAAGTAAAAACTGTAAAGATGTCAATTTTCCCCAAGGTAATATATAAGTTTGGTGTATTAACAATTAGAAATCCCGAAATTTTCATGGAACAAGCTAATCCTGTAGTTCATCTGGAAAATAAAATGCCGAAAATCTGCCAAGAAAATTTTGAAAAGGAAAAGTACAGGCCTGCACTGTCAATACTCGAAATAGTCCAGAAAGTTGTATTAATTAAGCCAGAGTCATATTGGCACAAGAATAGACAAATAGATCAATGAATCAGAAAAGAAAATATAGAAAAATATCTAAATGTTTAATTGGGAGCTTGGTACATATTAAAGATGACAGTTAAAATCAGTAGGGAAAGGATGAACCATTTATGGTATAGTTAATTAGCTAACTGTCAGGAAAAAATGAACTATCTTTACTTTGCGTCATTTACAAAAATAAACAGATTTAAGGGTAATACATTTTTTTAAAACTATAGGCATAATAGAAGAAAATACTGGGGAATATATTTAAAAAGGGGTGCTAGAATAGCTCTTTTTAAAACAAAATGTAAAACACAAAGGTTTTAATAGAAAAACCTAACAAATTTGGGGCACCAGCCTGGTTCAGTCGGAGGAGCGTGTGACTTGATCTCAGGGTCATGAGTTTGAGCCCCTTGCTGGGTAGAGAGATTACTTTAAAAAAAAAAACTTAAAAAAAAAAAAACTAACAAATTTAACCACAAAATACGAAAGTTATATAATATAAAATTAAAATATACGATAGGGCGCCTGGGTGGCTCAGTTGGTTAAGTGACTGCCTTCGGCTCAGGTCATGATCCTGGAGTCCCGGGATCGAGTCCCGCATCAGGCTCCCTGCTCGGCGGGGAGTCTGCTCCTCCCTCTGGCCCTCCTCCCTTTCATACTCTCTGTCTCTCATTCTCTCTGTCTCAAATAAATAAATAAAATCTTAAAAAAAAATAAAATAAAATATACGATAAACTGGGAGGAAGTCTTTGCAACATATAATAGAAAATGACACGGTGTAGGGGTGATAAGAACAGTACCTATGAATCAATTGGAAAAAGATAAAAAATATAACAGGAAAATGGACAAAGGGTACAACAGTTTACATAAGAAAAATAGGGGGGCGCCTGGGTGGCTCAGTCGTTAAGCGTCTGCCTTCGGCTCAGGTCATGATCCCAGGGTCCTGGGATCGAGCCCCTCATTGGGCTCCCTGCTTGGCGGGAAGCCTGCTTCTCCCTCTCCCACTCCCCCTGCTTGTGTTCCCTCTCTCGCTGTGTCTCTCTCTGTCAAATAAATAAATAAAACTTAAAAAAAAAAAAAAAAAAGAAAGAAAGAAAAATAGGCATGCCCGGTAAACATATGAATTGGGAAGATGCAAATTCAAATAAGAAACTTGTTTTCCACAGATTGGGTCCATCTTAAGAAACACAAATTGAAGTTAAATGCCCATTTTTTTGCCCATCATGATGGCCAAAATGTGAAAGATTGACAGTGCTAATTGCTGATGAAGGTGAGGAAGACAGGTACTTCCGTGCAAAACTGTTGCAAATGTAAATTGGTCCATCTGTTTTGGAAGACAGTTTGATGGTGCTGGGAATTTAAAACACACACAGCGCTCAGTTCTGTGTCTCTAGCCCCCTAGGGGATGCCTCTCGTCACCGGGTAGTCAAGCCCCGGTTCCTTTAGAGCATGGCGCCAGGTTCCCAAGGAGGTAAAGGCAGAAGCTGCTAGGCTTCTCTCTGAAGGGCCAGACCCAGAGTAAAGCCGATGCCTCCATGTACACTTCCCAGCATCTCTTAAGTGCTTATATGTTTATACAAATTTCAAAATATTCTATTGTTTTGGTCCGTATTTCCTCCTTGACCCAAACCATGTAACCAGTTATACCCATTCTAGTTTTTCGTTTTTTAATTTTTTCGTGTGACCTGTGGATAACTTATATAAACAAATGAAAACACACAGCAAAACTTCTCCCCAGTAAATGCTGCCTAAAAATTCAATTTGGTAAACTCTGGTGTCGTGTTATTGTGAAGTTCACTGAAAATGGCGTTTTATCAGTAGGTGGTATCGTCACAAAATTAAAGATTGGGAAACGCCCACTGTGCATAACTGACTTCACACTGAAGTGAGAAAGTCCCCAAGTGATCCTGAGGCAGTCACGTATTCTCACACACACATGTGCACACACACACGGACCCACGTGCACGGACACACGCCCACCTCAGGATTTTCTCTGAGAATGGTGCTGGGTGGCCTGGAAAGAGCACAGTAACCAAACACCAATCATGCTATAGTCCAACTCATATTATTAGGGTGCATGTTATTTTTTCTGTGCCTTCTCAGATCTACTATGTGGGTCTGCTCTCTGTTCATCCAGCCGTCCTCCCTTCATACTCAATGTGTGGAGCGCCCCGGGGATAGACGCAAAGATGGACAAGCCTGGCTCCTGCAGGTGGTGGGGAGGAAGGAATGTGCTTGAAAAGAGCCCTCATATCAATCAGACCCTCTGGATGCCAGGACGGAGCTATGCACAGGGTGCTTTGCGGGGGGGGCACAGCCAAGGGGCAGCTCCCCCAGCAGCCTGATTGGAAGGGAGTCTTGAAAAACAGAAAGTAGCTGGGGAGCAGAAAAATTGGGTGTGCAAGGAGAAAAGGAGAGTAATCCAGGCAGAAGCAACAGCTTGAGCAAAGGCTCTTGGGATAAAAATAGCGCAGCAGGAGGCGTACCTCTTTGGAGTGGAGATGGGCCAATGGCTCAGGTTTATCGGAACTTACACAGAAAGATGTAAGCAGGAAGGGCATGGCGGGCCTCCTAGGCCAACTTAGGACCCGTGCTGTGGAGGGGGGAGGGGGATGGCCAGGCTCACGTGTTTTGTTTTCCCTCCATGGGCAGGCGGAGGCCAGAGAGTAGAGGCTGGAGGCCACCTCAGAGAGGCGACATGACCCTGAATCTCGGGGGCAGTATCAGGATGACCACACGTGTCATCATTACATGGGAAATCTGGGACTAGCCAAGAGAAGATTTTATTTTATTCTTTTGTCATTTTCTGACATTATATTGTATTCTAAACAAGATCAGAAGATACATATATGAAATTTAATTCATATTTCTTCTGTCCTGTTTAACCTCAGCACATTTCTATTTTTAATTTATATTATAAACAAAATTATCTTTGAATTTTCCTCTGGGAGCAACCAGGAATTTGGTTTCTTGGATCACTTCTCTCCCCCTATGCATAATTTATTGTCTGAAACCCTTTATAAATGCTGTAGCTAAATCTTGTATAATACTGAGTTGTCCAATTGATGTTATTTTTATAGGCTTGCTTTTTGTTGCTGTCATAATCCACTCATCTCTTATAAATGCTTCTCTCTGCCTCCCAAATGCCGTCGCCTTGGCACGAAGATTTGTACCTGTGGTGTCATGCTGGCAAGTGGCTTCATGTCGTAAGGTCTTAAAATAATCTTTCCTCTCCTCCCCACCCTCACTGAGGAAGTTTGCCTGGGAATTGGCTTCTTAAGGTGATAGCTTCACTTCTCTTAAATTTGTGGAGACTTCCTGAATTAGTAAAAAAAAAAAAAAAAAGTAAATCTGGTTTAATTTAAGGAGGGTTTTTAGGATCAACTGGTATGATAGAAATGATAGGCATGAATTGGGAAATAGGTTAAGGTAAACCCTTAAGAAAATGCTCACCACGGGGCACCTGGGTGGCTCAGTCACTTAAGCCTCTGACTCTTGGTTTCGGCTCAGGTCACGATCTCAGGGTCCTGGGATCGAGCCCCACGTCGGGCTCCCCACTTGGCAGGGAGTCCGCTTCTCCCTCTCCCTCTGCCCCTCCCCCTGCTCTCTCTCTCTCTAAAAATAAATGTTTAAAAAAATGCTCACCACTGTGCTAGAATACAGAGATGAAGGATGGATGTCATTACCATATTTTATGTTCTATGACTCTAGTTTACATAGAACACAAATCCTGGCCAACCACCAGGCCTGGGCTCAAAGCTGGGCAAGAGAAAACAGTGGCAGTTTCAGGAAATGGGATCATCCTGTGCTGTGGTTGTGAACTATAATCATTTCTTAGTTGTAACAGAGTACCTTGTTTTCCCAGTAATTAACTAGTTTGGGATTTTTGCATTGACTCCCGGGGACCAGAGTCACTCTGTGTTTTCACGAAAGACGGTTGTTAGGGTGGCGTCATGACTTGCTTAGGCTAACAAGCCTTTACCCTTCATTTAGCCCAACAAATATTTACACTGCTCTGCCCTTCCAGCACGTTCTCCAGAGCGTAGAGTGCACCCTGCAACACCCACACAAGGCACTTACAGGCTCTTGGGAGAGCAGCAGGTTTGGTTAACAGGGTAACCACTGTAGCTGGGGCCGGTCTTGTCAGGGGAAGGCAAAGAAGTGAGCATTTACTGAGTGTAGGCAGTGTGCTAACTATTTTATATACATTAGCTCATTTGATAATGAGGCTAACTCTGTCACGTAGCATGTGTTCAAAATGTATTAGTTGCTTTCTTTTTCATCTACATTACAGAAATAACTCATATTGAATTACTTAACACTGTAAATTTGAAATCCTGTCTGCATAAGCATGTTCCAGTGATTTCTAAAGCTAATCTGATACAGGCTGTATTAATAAATGGGGAAAGGAGGCCAATCATGGCATGGATGTAAGGTAAAGAAAATCCCATATCTACGCTTCGCATGCAGAACTTATCAGGAAAAGAACTCAAGTAGGTTGAAAGACGTTTGCTCGAAAATGTTTCCATGCATTGTTCAAGGAGGGTGGTGGAAATTGAGCTCTCCTCTCTTGCTTTCTTAGATACATTCCACCATTGATCTGGGGGAAAAGTGGACACATCCAAACCGCCTTGTATGGGAAGATGGGAAGGGTGAGGTCGCCACACCCCTACGGGCACCGCAAGTTCATCACCATGTCCGACGGAGCCACTTCGACCTTTGACCTCTTCGAGCCCTTGGCTGAGCACTGTGTTGGAGGTGAGCTAGCGCAGGAATACGATGGGTCCATCACCTGGAAAGGGGACACTGGGCAGTGAGGGAGCATGCTGTACACGCTCGCGCTGCCGACTCCGCATCACACCCGGGGGCCGGGAGGAAGCCCGCCGCGGTACCTGTCTCGGGCAGCCCGCGAGGATCCGTGCTGTCACGTGCTTGTCAGTCACCACGTTGGGCCCCTCAGACAGCAGTGCTGGATGCAACTGTTAGTCCTCTCAGAAATACAGAAGCTCAGTGGAAGGGGACAAGGGAGAACGTGGAGCCCAGGCCCCTCAGGACCAGGCCTCTGGTTTGATGACAGCAATAGAAGCCAGACTCATCTAAGAGCTTTATAGATACTGTACCTCAGTTAAGCCTTCCAGCAAGCCTGAGAGGTCGGGACCTTATTGTCCCGACTCTGCCGATGAAGAAACTAAAGCTCAGAGATACGGGAGCGGGTGGGCTTGTCTGTTGGGCAATAGCAGATAGCGGGGGCTCTCGGGCACCCTCTGCGTTGGTTGCCGTGGACAAAAAGACACATTCGGGTCCATTTATGCAGGGCTCTGGGATACCTGTCTGATAGAAACCACTCCGATCGCTGCCGCTGCTGGAACTCGGCATTGCTCTGTCCAGCCTATATAGTAAGCAGCCGTGATAAAGAGCTTCGCAGTGAGGACTCACGAGCGAGTGGACTTAGGACGGCACCTGCCTCTGACTGCCACTCCTAGCAGAGGAGGACGTGTCTGCTCCGTTCTGTAGTGTGCAAGGCACCGAGGTTTGGGGGGGTTGTGCTTTTTTTGGTAAAGATTTCATCTATTTATTCAGAGAGAGAGCATGCATGCACAAGGGGTGGGGGAGGGGCAGAGGAAGAGAGAGCATCCTGAGCAGACTCCCCGCTGAGCATGGAGCCCGATGAGGGGCTCTGTCTCACGACCCTGAGATCATGACCGGAGCCAAAATCAAGAGCCAGACGCCCAACCAACTGAGCCACCCAGGCACCCCAAGGCACCTTGGTTTTTATAGGAGCTCGGTAACTACTTGGGAGGAAATTTCAGTAAACCTGATGTACCTTCCAGTTCTTTACAGTAACCAGCACTGCTGACGAGCTGGTGACAAAGGTTTAGTTGATATTCCCTTTGTCTGGAACACTCATCCCCACACCCTTGCATGGCTGCTTCCTCTTGTCTCAACTCAGGGTCTCAACTCAGATGTCACCTCCTCAGAGGGACGGCCCCTGCCTCCCCTCGCTAGTGCTCCCTTCCCAATAAATCCATCATACCTTCCTGCGTTAGTCCTTCAGAGTACCTGCCATTCCCTCAGTAGGTAATTCATGGTCATGATAAAAAATTCAAAAGGTACCTTTAAGATAATACAGAGAAGGGGCGCCTGGGTGGCTCAGTCGTTAAGCGTCTGCCTTCAGCTCAGGTCATGGTCCCGGGGTCCTGGGATCGAGCCCCGCATCGGGCTCCCTGCTCCGCGGGAAGCCTGCTTCTCCCTCTCCCACTCCCCCTGCTTGTGTTCCCTCTGTCACTGTTGTCTCTCTCTCTCAAATAAATAAAATAAAATCTTTTAAAAAAAAGATAATACAGAGAAAGTATAAGTCTCTCTTCCACTCCTACTCCCCACCCATGCTCTTCCCCAGTGGTACCCACTGTTAGGTTTCTCTGTATGTTTCCAGAGCTAGTGGATGCATTTCTAAACATAGATGTTTTTTTTCCCTCCATGCAAATGGCAGCATATCATAACCCTTTTCTGCACCTTGCTTTTTTTCCACTTAATACATGTTGGAGAGCTCATCCTATCAGTATATGTAAAGATGTCTCTCATTATTTTGAAGGGCTACATAACATTTCATCCCTTGGATGTGCAATAATTTATTTAGCCAGACCTCTGTTTCGGGGCGTTTAGCTTGTGTTCATTCTTTTGCCATATTATCACCTGCACTGTACATACCTTGTTCTGCTTACGTACAGGTGTATCTGTAGACAAATACCTGGAAGTAAAATTGCTTGATCAAAGAAGTCTGTGCAAACACTACTTTTTATTTTTCTGCTCATGCATCCTGTCATTCATACAGAAATTAAAAGTAAGGTTTGGAAACTCGTACAGCAGTGTGGCCGAGTAATTTTGTATCTGCTGAATCTAATAATAAAAAATTGAGGGGCGCTTAGGTGGCTCAGTTGGTTAGGCGACTGCCTTTGGCTCAGGTCATGATCCCGGAGTCCTGGGATCGAGTCCCGCATCGGGCTCCCAGCTCAGCAGGGAGCCTGCTTCTCCCTCTGACCCTCTCCCCTCTCATGCTGTTTCTCTCTCTCTCTCTCTCTCAAATAAATTAAAAAAAAAAAACTTAAAAAAAATAAAATAAAATAAAAAATTGAGATTTAAATTGTTTTCATTTCATCTTTCTAGTAATTAATTTTTATCGCATTTTTCAAAATTATCTGTCCATGATCGGAAATTTTAACAACTGACCCTTCACCATAAATAGTTTGAGAGGCACTGATCGGGACAACTCCAGCCAGAAGGGAAAGATGCTTCTTCCCAGAGAATTGAGTAAAAAGATGTATGTCAGGTTCCCTCCTACTGTTTTCTAAGCCAGTGACGTGTCATCGTGGCCATTTATCATCACTACTCATCGGCTATCTTGGGATCTCTTTCTTCACCCTGTAGATGACGTTACCATGGTCATCTGCCCTGGAATTGCCAATCACAGCGAGAAGCAGTACATCCGCACCTTCGTCGACTATGCCCAGAAAAATGGCTACCGGTGCGCCGTGCTCAACCACCTGGGCGCCTTGCCCAACATTGAGCTGACCTCACCGCGCATGTTCACCTACGGTAAGTCCTGGCACGGCCAAGTGGAATCCCCCTTACTGTTCTCACCACAAGTGTGCTGTTACTTCTGTCCTGCTTTACCTTTCTGAGTTCAGAATTTATGCCCATCTGGAGAGGCAGTGGGGCACGTGGTTATACCAGCAGCCAGGGTGTACTGGGCGTTTATGATGCCATGCTTCACATCGGCCTTTCCGATGGGCCCCAGAGCTACCCCCAGCTCATGCTGCCTCCTGGACACAGAGAGTGAAAATCACAGGGGCAGGGCTCCCCCGAGGCCCCCTGCTGGTAGGTAGGTGTCAGAGCAGGGCCAGGAGCCCCATAGCCCATGCCCTGCACCACTGAGCGATCCTGACGCCCATTCCTCAGGACTCTTGTGACTGGCTGGCAAGGGTTGTGATGAGACACATGTGTGGCCGTGGGAAGGGAGTCTGGCACATCAACAACTCATTGAATTCCAAGTTCCTTGAAGAGAGGAACTGGATCTCATCTTGAGACAGATGCTTCTTGCCTTTAATTGAAGTCGTCCCGCATTGGCGAAGGCTCTGTCTTCCAGATTGCCCGTCCTTGATTCTTATTTAAATCTCCCTTCATATTATAGATGCACACATAAATAATAAACACATAAAATATGTGTTTGAATACGCACAAACACTGGGGTTGCTTATAACCAAATAAATTACTGTGCGTTTTAATGGGAAACAACTGAAAATTGCATCTACAATCTCACCATAACTATAATTTCCTATTTGTTTATCTTCCCATTCCTTCATCTGTGTGTACATAGTTTTTATTTAGGTGCAGAGTGTGTATATCTATGGTGACTTAATTTAAATAATCTTATATTCACTAGCATAAACGTGCATAGTCACTACATTTAATCTTTTTAAGGGCCACGTTGCTGTTATTACTCTGTTATTGTTTATCTGACCATTCCTCTTTGTAGTCCATTTAGCTTATTTACAGTTTTTCAGCATTTTAAATAATGATGCTATAAATATCTTTCGCCTAGAATTTGTTTTTCTCTTTAATGACTACCTTGGGCCGAATTTCCAGGACTAGAATTTCAGAGTCAACATTTGGTATGCCTATTTGTCCATATTGTCAGATTGTCCTCCAGCAAGGTTGTTGCGGTTTATGCTGCTACTGGTGATGTGTAGGGTGCGGGTCGGGGAGCGTGAGCGGGGGCACCTGCTCTGTACCAGGCAGGCTGTCCTGCACCCTACTGCTTCTCCACACTCACTCCCACGACTAAAGACACCATGTTACACACTCTTCTGTTCAACAGTGCAGTTGGTGGCCTGAAGATCCAGATGTACAGACAACTCAGGAACAGGAGAAGAGTGAGCATGTGGGAGACGGATCAGATCCAAAAGGCAGAAACAGGCAGAATCTTACAAAAATGAAAACAATGGGGAATGATTATAAGGTCCCACACTTGTATATAAAAATCCGTCTGCACAAGTTGAGGATAGGGAGGCATGGCTTGGCCTCACTCGGGACCCCAGGCAGAGACAGACTTGGGAGTGCTATCTAACTGCATGCACCATCTGCCAAAAACAAGACAAGAAATGCCACCGAGGGCACTTAACGTGTGCCCAACCCAGTGCTGATGTCTTACACAGACATAATCCCTTTAATCTGCACAGCAACCAGTGGGACACTTAGTGAAATTGTGATGAAAAGGCAGACGGAGGCACAGAGAGGTTAAGTAATTGGGGCAAGACATAGGGTCAGTAAGCCAGTAAGCAGGAGAGCTAAGAGAAGGGCCTGGATCTGGCTGCTCCAGGGTCCAGGATCATCTCAGAGCTAGTAGAAGCGCTGGGTGTGTGTGGTCCAGGTCCCCTGCCTCCAGGAGTGCCGTGCTAGGGGCCGTGGGGAAGGGACACTAGATTGGGAGACATTCACACACAAGCCGGGGGATTGGCTGAAGGAGCAGAGAAGAGTAGGCTCGGTGTGGCACAGAGACAGTCCCTGCCCCCCGCCCTGCCACTGACTTAACCTCAGTTCCAGATTCTTCAACAGCCCCAAATGGGGGTTACAACTGTACAATTAAACGTGGGTTACTAAGGCCTTAGCAGGTAGCTGAGCACCTCACATATAGTAGCCATCCGTTAAATGTTCAGTTTATTCTTCAAATACTTGAAGATCTGTTCATGCGCGCGAGGGATTAGCCGTGCTCTCTGCGGCCCAGATAAATAAGATACGTTCCATCAGTAAATCATCACACCACAGGGTGATGGGTGAGGCCGCAGCAGAGGGGAACCAGCCTGTCTCTGTAGGGAAGCAGTGGTGTTGCGGAAGGAAGGATTCTTCCAGGAAGAGCATTTGAACTGGGTCCTCAGGGTCCCATGGGTTGGAGCTCCTAAACCGAAGGGAGCGGGCTCCGGGGGAGGACGGCGTGCATAGCTGCCTCTTAAAAGAGTGTGGTATGTCGGGGCTGGTGAGCTGAATCCCAACAAGGAGAATCCACGGGGCGAAGTCAGCCCGTCCAGGGAGAGCTCAGCCCCCCAAGGTTTTCAAAGTCAGTTAACTCTTTCCTTTCATTTGTTGTTACAGTTTGTTTCGTCAGAATTTTAGAAGTAAATGCCTATAGTTTGTTGTACTCCGGTAGTTTTCCAGAGAGGCGGATGACCTAGAAGATACGTTTCCTCTTCGGTTTTTAAAAAAACCTTCCTGTTAGAGAAATGTTCAAAATATACAAAAGTAGAGAGAATAGTAAATGAGCACCATTCAGCCTCAACAGTTACTCAATTTATGGCCAATCTCGTTTCATCCACAACCCCCTTCCTGCCCTTTCCTTCCCTTTCGAAGATTATTTTGGAGCTTGTCCCGGAGAGCCCTTCCTTCCATCTGTGACTATTTTAGTGTATGATGCTAAGCTACGCAGACTCTTTGTAAACTGTTTTAGTTCGCTAGGACTGCCCTCACAAAATACCACCATCTGGGTGGCCCAAACTACAGACATTTATCTTCTCACAGTTCCGGAGGCCGGGAGTTCAAGTTCAAGGTGTGGGCAGGCTTGGTTTCTTCTGAGCTTCTCTCCCAGGCTTGTAGGTGACTGTCTTCTTGTCTTGTGCATCCGTGTGTGTGTGTGTGTGTGTGTCTCCCTCTGTCTGTGTCCTACTCTCCTCTTCTTACAAAGACACCAATCAGGTTGGATTAGAGCTCAACCCTAATGACCCTGTTTTAACTTAATTATTTCTCTAAAGGCCCTTTCTCCAAATTCATTCATATTCTGAGGCAGCCGGGGCTAGGACTTCAACATACGAATTGGGGAGGACACGGTTCAGCTCATAAAAGAACATAAGCACAATGCTACCATCACACCTGAGACTCCAGCATTCCTTAATAGCAGTTCAGTTTCCCCAACTGAATTCTTTCTTTGTACTGAATTCAGGATCCAAATCAGTTCCATACGTTGCAGTTGGGGGATAGGTTTCTTAAGCCTCTTTTATTTTGTTATTATTTTTAGTATTACTGTCCCTCCCTCTTTCTTCCCTTCCTCTATTTTTCAGTGGAAAAGGTAAAAGAAAGCAGAGCCATCTTAAGCCTCTTCTGAATCTCCTTCCCTTCACTTTTCATAGAACCCCAACCATGTCAGCCTCGTCCGTGTGGGAGGACCGGATGTGACATTAAGGGGGCTCGGGTTCCCAGGACATGCAGCACGTCCGCCGACACCAGGCACCGGCCTGAGGGCTGCCGATCATAGGTCTGCCCCAGCTCTGTCTGGACGGCTCTTCTCTGGTCTTGACTTAGCTTCTTCTTGTCGTTCGGGTCTCAGCTAAGATGTCACCTTCTTGGAAGGTCCTTGTCCCCTGCCCTCACCCCCCATTCTCTAATCCCCGGTCTCCCCGAGTCCATTCCATGGGAGCCAGTGGTGTTTGTGCCCAGAAAACTGCTCAGCCCTTAGAAGGTGCTCGCTGCATCGATGCTGACTGGGGACGGAGGTGAGGGCCGTGAAATGACTGTCTGTAAGGTGATCTTGGCAAACCACGTCTCAAACCCATGCCCCTGATGGTCATAAGAGCCTTCCCTTGTGCAAGCCACGCTGCTCTTGAGCAGATGGTGGGCCATCAAGTCACCGCGGACACCTCTTTTTGGCCATTGGAGACTGATCTTGACCAGAGGAAAACTACAGAGGGTGTTAACAGGAAGCCTTCCATTCTTCTTTTCCTGTTACACGACCCCCCTCAGATCTCTCCGAGAACATCATAGAGGACCTTTCCCCACGTATCAGACTGACTGTTCCAGACCACATAAGCACCAGTCCCTTGCCATTGGACGTCTTGGCTGATGTGATTAGAAATTGTGAAAAACAGATCTCTCGCAAACAGAAGACTTTCACATTCTCGTGACTTAGAGTCCTTCATGCTGCCTTTGAAGGATGAAGTCATTAAGGAAAATCCTGCATGACAACAGTTCCCATGTAGCTCACACTGACTGACGAGGGCCAGGGCACGCTGAGCATGTGCATGAGCTGCTTCGCCTGAACCCCGCTGACATCCGGAGGTGGGTGCTAATGTCCCCACTCCACAGGCTTGCCCGGGGTCCCACCACCCGTAAGTGACAGAACCAGGCTTCAGACTATGTGGTTCTCAACCCCAGTCAGCAGCAGCTCTGGGGTGGTGCACGTTTCCTATGCAGGATATTGTTCATGAGGACTAGACAGGAGCAGGGAGGCAGCTGAGCATTTCAAAAGACTTTTCCCCCACTTTGGTGACAGTGGTCATCACTGTTTATATGAATAACGTTTGTTGTGGGGCGGGCACTGTTCTGAGTACTTGATAGGATGTATTAAATGAGCCATTGCCCTTTTGCAGACGAGGAACCCGAGGCCCAGCGAGGTTGCGCAACTTGCTCCAGATCACAAAGCTGATGAGCAGGTGGCCCAGGTTTCCCACCCAGACAGTCGAGTCCTGAAGCTCGTGCTTTTGAACAACGGGCTACATCGCCTCTCTATGTGACAGACCGAATCCTGCTGACACTTCTCAGGAGCAAGGAGAGAGTTCCCACCCACTCAGACACATTTTAGGTTGAAGGCAAAAGTGTATCCGGGAGCTTCTCAGAGCCATAGCAGTGGGCCTGGTGGGTTCGGGCTCTGCTCTTTTGTTCATCCGGCATCCGAGAGACATTCGTGGGGCCAGCCCCTGTGAGGAGAACACAGGGGGCGTGCAGAGTACCTGCCGCCTTGATGCTCCCAGGCTGCTTGAGGAGCTGCTCGCCATGGGATGGGGAGGTGGGGAGCACACTCAGAATCAGTGTGAGTTTCTTGGCTGCGTTTGTCTAAAAAGAACGTTGACCAGACCTTGTCCTTTTCAAGAACAGGGACCAGATTTTGGTTTTCAATTCTTACGTGATTTTTTTACATTCGTCTCCTGCAGGTGGTATATCGCTTAGAGACGCTCAGGAAATGTCCGCATAAGGAAAGAGCCTGTGTTTTAGAGTCCAGCAGATGGGGGTTTGCACACCTAGTTCCCCCAGGTTGTTGAGAAAGTTAGCATTAATATAAAAGTGTGTAGCACGGAGTCCAGCAAGTAGCAGTAAATAGCAATGACTTTTTCTGTTTTCCGCTCTGTGTTTTCCGGGAACCGGCTTAGAGGAGAAAAGGCGGACGTTGACGTGAACAGCCAGATGATCTTGCCTCTGCCTCAACCTCATGCAGTTGAGCGCATGTGAACTCTTGCAAGGACCCGTTGAGAAGCTGTGCTTGCCAAGCAGAGAACCCTCTCTGGCTTGAGTGTGCTCTAAGTTATGAACTCCGTACAGAGACAGCCAGGCCCTGGTGGTGACCTTGAAGGACGCAGGTCGTGCTTTCTGACTGCCTTGCCCCCCGGGGCTGGGGCTGGGGCTGGGGCTGGGGTCAGCCACCTCCAACTCAATGCTGCTGGCTGCTGGCTACAGAGCCAGCTCTGACAGTCACTATGGGCGAGTTTTTATTTTACCAATGCTCTTTTCGCTGTATTTCAGCCTTCTAAAAATTCGTTTCATTCTTAAAAATTTTTTTTCACCACTTGCTGCAGTATAGTTTGTATATATATATATATATATATATATATATATATCTTTTTTTTTTGAGAGAGAGAGAGCGAGCGAGCAGGGGGAAGGCACAGAAGGAGAGGGAGAAAGAGAGAATCTTAATCAGGCTCCACACCCAGCATGGAACCCAACGCAGGGCTCAATCTCACGACCCTGAGATCATGACCTGAGCCGAAATCAAGAGTTGGATGCTTCAACGGCTGAGCCATCCAGGCGCCCCTATAATTCATATATTTTTTAAGCTAGAAAATATTAAATATTTCTTTTGTGATGAATTAAATTGGATTAAATGAAATGACATTAGCTGATCTGACCATAAATAAAATGTGAAACCATTAGGATGACAAGAGTGGAACCCACAAGAGTGAAATTTTTCAGTCTTTTAAATTTCTTATTGAGCTTGGGTACTGTACCAGATCAGACCAAGTACACAACCCTATCACGTGGATGAGAAATAAATAACACTTAAGGGGCGCATGGGTGCCTCAGATAGTTAAGCGTCTGCCTTTGGCTCAGGTCATGATCCCGGGGTCCTGGGATCGAGCCCCGCATCGAGCTCCCTGCTCAGGGGGAAGCCTGCTTCTCCCTCTCCCCTCCCCTTGCTTGTGTTCTCTCTCTGTCTCTCTCTCTGTCAAATAAATAAAATCTTTAATAAAATAAAACAAATAACACTTAAAAATGATAGAAGATGTAGAAGTCTTGAAGATTTTTTTGAAGTGTACTTATTCTAAAGAGCCTAATCTTTTTTTTTTTTTTTTTTAGATTTATTTATTTGACAGAGAGAGAGATAGCGAGAGAGGGAACACAAGCCGGGGGAGTGGGGGAGGGAGAAGCAGGCTTCCCGCCGAGCAGGGAGCCCGACGCGGGGCTCGATCCCAGGACCCTGGGATCATGACCTGAGCTGAAGGCAGCCGCTTAACCAACTGAGCCACCCAGGCGCCCCATCTTTAATGGAAATACTATAGCAGTGGACGTGTTGGCTGTTTGTTGACTGAATTGATTTTCTAGCCCAGACACTGTTTGGAATATAAGTATTTTTGTCAGTGGTAATGCAGGAGACTGGTAAATTAAGGAAGCATTTTGTTTCATCTTTCTGTCTTTGGCTAAATGCCTTATCCTAATTGTCCAGGATTCATGTTCAGAGTAGAGTACAGCTGCGTCCAGTCCACCAGCCAAGGAAAGAACTGGAAACCAGCATCATCCAGCTGTGGTTATTCTGACCTCCGTTTCAAAGATTGCTCTTGAAACTGAGCCAGGTGACAAAGAGACTGTGAGTCCGATCTTGAGGATAAGAGAGAAAATTGAGGATTTTTAAAGTCACTTCTGTATCAGGTGAAAGGAATAAAAACAGCCTGGCATTGGCCCCGACAAGGTGACCAAGTCCTGAGGTCACAAGCCTCTGACCGAACACCGAGCTGGGGCATTGTGACCTTGAACATGGTCTCAAAGATTTAAATTGCCTTCCCTAGGGGTTTATACACAGAAGTGGGCCCTTCCCTTATTTCTAAACACTTGAATTTCTGGCATCAGACGTCAAGCTGAGAAGAGGTGTCTGAAATCCCAGCACTGTCTTCTGTGGCTTGGAGGAGGAATTCCGTAATGTCCAGCTGAGTTTAATACTGGAAAGTTTTGTTTTGTCAACTATCTTTTGGAACCACAAGGGAAGGCCAGAAAACTTTGCCTTGCTCAGAAGGCAGCATGTCAGTCTCAGAAGGGAGGGAGGTCCTGTACCTGGGGCGACCCCATAATTTCACATCCCAACTGCATTACTTTTTTTTTTTTATTAAAGATTTTATTTATTTATTTGAGAGAGAGAGAATGAGAGACAGAGAGCACGAGAGGGAAGAGGGTCAGAGGGAGAAGCAGACCCCCCGCCGAGCAGGGAGCCCGATGTGGGACTCGATCCCGGGACTCCAGGATCACGACCTGAGCCGAAGGCAGTCGCTTAACCAACTGAGCCACCCAGGTGCCCCCAACTGCATTACTTTTGAGAGTGAAAGAGAACCTTACTAATGACTGCATCAGAATGACAAACTCCAGGACTCTCCCAGGCAAACTAGGATGTACAGCTACCCTACTTAGCACACTGTAGAGATCACCCAGGATCCAAGACATCTTGCCGTAAGGAGGTGCAAACAGCGATTTTTAAGGAACTTCTATTTTGTTTTTATACTGCTCAATCAATCTGAAGATCTTTGATGAGATCATGAACATAGATGTTTTGATCAGCTTCTCATATCTACCATTTTAATTGATGCAGACTCAATTTTGAGTCGTATTCATGATTCCAGATTGACAACCACAAGTCGCATGGCCTCTACAACAGTTGAGTGTTGTGATGGCAGAAGGACACGGTGGGAAGAGGAGGAAGGAGGAGATGGGTGAAGGGAGAGAGAACGTGACAGTGAAGGTGGTGAATTTGCAGAAGCTCAAGCATCTTGGTAAACCATCTGGCGAGATCATATGCTGGGAGTCACTGCGCGTTGAGATGGTGCCAAGGGGCCAACGTTAGGGAATGTGGCGGGGGAGGCAGTTAAATATCCAGAGTAGAACTGTGGAGAAGCAGATTCTGGCTTCCAGCATCAGATCTGGATACTTAACCCGAGGAGGGCGGGGTTAGGTAATTCTGTACGTGCGCAAACGAAGCTAAAAGCGCTCGTTTGTGAAAATCCGTTTCAGAGAGAAGGACGAGCCCAGCTCATCTACTGCACAAAGAGGGCTCTCGCTTTGTTCCTGCAGCTGTTCTCCTCCTGAGTGACTCAGCGGTGCGGTGGCTTTCACAGCTCTGAGAAACGACAGGGCCTGCTGGCCCCCAGACGCCCGCCGGGAGCCACCTCGTTAGCCTGTCCAGATCATTCTCTTGGCTTACACTTAGTGGCAAAGATATTGAGCTACTTCTTTCCTGTCCACAGCACAGTCACCACACTCAGACTGGCCAGTGCCGTGTGCTTCCGTGCCAGGGGATTCAAACCTCCTCCTTACGCTGCTAACACGTGTGACACGCCCACCACGTTCCCGGCCCGGGCCTGGCATGGGAAACATAGAGATGACTCAGAGTCTCCATCCACAAGGAGCACCGAGTCTGCATCCCCGTATTCGAGCCCACTTAGTCACGTTAGCGCCACTGGGAACTGGCTTTCATGAAAGTAGCTCTCGGGTAGCCTTAGCCTTATTTTTCTTTTTTAGATTTTTATTTATTTATTTGAGAGAGAGAGAGAATGAGAGAGAGCACATGAGAGGGAGGAGGGTCAGAGGGAGAAGCAGACCCCCTGCCGAGCAGGGAGCCGGATGTGGGACTCGATCCAGGGACTCCAGGATCATGACCTGAGCCGAAGGCAGTCGCTTAACCAACTGAGCCACCCAGGCGCCCTAGCCTTATTTTTCTTGAGGGGTGTGAGGCTGAAGAAAAGGTCTTTCCTGTTCTCAGCAGGTTGCCTTTCCAAGATGGCCCTGTGGTACGCATCTCTTCAAAGCCAGGTTAGCGTCTCGTGTTTCGTCTTGCCTTTAAAAGCGGCCGCAAGATTAGATACCCAAATCTTGTTACTGGTGCTAATCCCGTAAGGATTAAATACCCAGAGCCTCATTAAAATCCTCCTCATATGAAATAACAGATCGCAGTAGCTTTTAGTAGAACAGTCCAGGGAGCGGCTCCCAGCCACTGAGAGTGTCTGGTAAACTCTCATCAGGTGGAAATCCCAGGAGGACCCAGCGCCTAGCAGAAGGCGGATCCTGGCGCTGGGCGAACACCATACCCTTGCTTGGGAGAGCAGCTCTTCACACAACACCCAACAGCTTGTCCAGCGTTAGGCAGAGCTGGCCCTTTACCCAGATGAGGTATATTTGGAGTTAATTAAATTGAGGCTCCCCAGGTGCCTACACGATTAGCTGTAATTGCTCCCCAGTAGTGTAGCAAATCTGAGTTTTGTAACTGCCCCAGTGACATCTGAACATCTGCTCTAGGCCTCAAATAATTAGTCTCAAATCTGAGTACAGACAGACGGGTCCAGGAGCGCCCGGCTGGCTCATTCAGTGGAGCACATGACTCTTAATCTCAGGGTTGTGAGTTTGAGCCCCACGCTGGGTGTAGAGATTGCAGAAATAAATGAAACTTAAAAAAAAAAATTTTTTTTTTAAATACTATTTAAAAAAAAAAAAAGACCGGTCTAAGAGGAATCAGGTGATGAGAAAGCAAAGACTTTTAATAATGAAAAAATAAATCCCTGCGGTACTATTACTTGTGTCGATTTGTGTTATGAGGCAAAGGACTTGGGTTTGGGGTTAGATGTGGATCCAAAGTCCTGCGCTTCCCGCCCGCTCACTGTGTGAGGTCGGGCAAGTCATTCCATCCCTTTGGATCTGCTTCCTCCGCTGTGTTTACGTTCCCAGGACAGGGCCTGGGGCACAGTGCACCCAGGCTTTCGTCCCTTCATTTAGGTGGTACTGACCCAGTGGCCACCCTGCACCTGGCCCCACAGATGCAGTGGGGAACAAGACCGAGCATGTCTTTACTGTACGGAGCACATCACCTAGTAGAGGTTCCTTCCATATTAGAACAAAACATAGAGTTATAAATAGCCAAGGGATGAATGAAATTAGGCAGAACCCCAAGGAAATAGTGGAAAAGTGAGGATTTTAGTAACAATTTAAAATAAGTCCCTTGATACCCTTTCTCATGCGAGCAAATGATGTTCCCATCATTAGCTGCACAAACCTCTTCTCCAGCATGAGTGGGTGTCTCCATGCTGGGTGTCTGGAGCCTAGCTGAAACTGGCCTAAAGGGACTTAAACATATTTTTTTTATTCTTTATTTTCGCCGGGCTTTTTAACTAGCTGGAATTTTATTGAAAAACTGGTGTCTGTACATAATAAAACCATTCCAGGGGGGCGTTTGGTGGACCTGGAGGCGGTGTCTGGTTGTGTAGAAACCTGGCTTTGAGGAAATGCTCGGAAAGCCGCTACCAGGCCAACAGCCCTGCTGCGGAAACTTCCAAAAGGTGGAGTAGCGCCTCCCTGTGGGAAGGTCGCTTACTGCAGGCGGACAGGAAAGGAGGTCTGTGAAGGGATGGCCCCCAGGCAGAGAGGAGCTCCAGAAGCACCTTTCCCAGATTGTCGGAGCCAGAGCGTTCCCCGTTCCTACATCAGTGGTTCTCAGCCCTGGCTGCACTTCGAAGGCACCTGGAGATCTGGTAAAAGACCAGGCCCCACGCCCAGACAATTTGGATTCAATGAGCCGGTGGCGGGGGTGGGGGTGGGGGGGCAGGCATTAGGTATTGGTGTTTTAAAGATCCCTGGGTGATTTTAATGGGCGTCAGATCAATGCAATCGGATTGAAGAACACTGTTTTGGAGGAAAATCTAGAAACCTAGATTAGCCTTTTTGACTGTTAAGCTACAATGACTTGTTTCAAGTAATTTAAACCATGGTTTACATGGTTTGGGCAGTGTTTACATGGGTGTAAGCGTGTACAAATTCATTGTGCACTTTCCTGAGTGTTATGTTATGCCTTGTCAAATAAAAAGAAAAAAGAACAGGGCAGGGGCGCCTGGCCGGCTCAGTCGGTGGAGCGTGCAATACTTGATCTCAGGGTCGTGAGTTCGAGCCCCACGTTGAGGGTAGAGAGGACTTAAAAAAAAAAAAAAGAATAGGGCAGATTTCTGTGTATTGTTATACAGTGGCTTCCAAGACATATTGTTAAAAAAAGAAGAAGTAAACAAGGTACTAAATCTGTGTGCTACCACTGACATTTTTTCGAAGAATATGAGAAATTACCAGTTACCACATCTCTAATGTTACTTGAATTTTGTGCCATATGCATGTTTTACCTATTCAAAAAATATAGGTTCCTGGGCCTGGCCCCCATCTTACTAAATCAGCTCGTCTGGGGGTGAAGCCCGGGGCTGCCCATGTCCAGTGTCCTCCCAGGTGATCCTCTACCCACTGTAGTTTGAGAACCGCCCCCCAACCTGGGTTGTGCTGGCCCGCCTGAGGCTGTGTCCCTCCATGAAAGGAAGCCGTAAGAGGCGCTTGCCCGAGGCTCAAAAGGCAGCATCCCCCATGGCTTGCTGGTTAGGGAAGAAGCTATTCAACTCTCATGAGGGACGGCCAGACCTCTGAGCCCCTGCCGAGGTCAGCAGCCTGTTTCCACTGTAAACCCAGTCTCCTCATTGCTGGTCTGTCGTGTGCGTGTGTCTTGCCAACATCCGTAAATTTCCCTGTTAGGTTTTATTTTAAGTTGGCTCCCCGAGGAGCCTGGGGTCAGGTCTCGGAAGGATGTGACAAATCCCTTCACCCGTGGATGGCACTAACCTCCTCCTCTTAGCAAAGCTGCGGAGAGAACACGGCTTCGCAGGCTTCCCAGTGGGACCAACTGAGATCATGCCTCCCAGACAAACAAGGCCCTCTCCGCACAGAGGTCTCCACTGTGTGTTTCTCAATGAGCCTGCCTCCCTCGGCACTCTGTCCTTACGTCACCAAGGACATTTTATCCTAATCCTGTAGCGCATCCTGGCCGTCCCTCCAGACTGAAGTTTGTCTTTCCTTCCTTCCCCCACGTCGACAAGAAGTTCCCATAAATAACATCCACTTGGTTCTTTTCTTGACACCATGAGTCATTGTACACATGGGTATAGCATCCTGTTTTGTAGCTGAAGAAGCTAATCCCAAAGGGTTTTGTGGTTGCTTCTGTATCTGTGTGTGAACGGCTGTGCTCACGACGCCCTGGATATCTGTTTTCATTTCCATGTGCCTCTAGACAGGTTTTTCCACAACCCACCTTCAGAGAGTGTTGCACATCTGTGTGATGCGTGGTCCCTGCCCTCATGGGCACCACTGAGGTTGGGTCTCCTCTTATACAGAGGAGCATCTGGAAACTTCTCTCCAGGTAGCCAAAGAGAAGTGTTTATGCCTCCCTCCCTCCCTCTCTCTCCATACACATCCACACCCCCACACCCACACACACACACTTCTCTCTCTGTTAGCATCTTGGCACGCACTCAGGAGCCCTCCAGCTCTCTCTCCAGGGCAGTCATTTTGTCGCTCCTAAAATGACTGAGTGGTCTCACCTCTCTGCCCACAGGCTGCACCTGGGAATTTGGAGCTATGGTAAACTACATCAAGAAGACGTGTCCCCAGACCCAGCTGGTCGTCGTGGGCTTCAGCCTGGGTGGTAACATCGTGTGTAAATACTTGGGGGAGACTCCGGCAAACCAAGAGAGGGTCCTGTGCTGCGTCAGCGTGTGCCAGGGGTACAGTGCTCTGAGGTGAGTGACGTCCGCGCCCCACCTCTCCCTCCCTCGGGTTTTTGTTGAGATGCCCCGGGACACCGGCACACATCTGTGAAGACCAGAGGAAACGCGGTGGTGGACCGAGCAGAAGCGTGTGGGTCCTGGAGTCACCCTGTCTTGCTTTCACGTCATACACTGGAGCGGTCTTACCAGACTCCTTAAGGCCGATCTGCAGCTATATTTGGGGATCAGGTCTGTAACTGAATAAGCCAAAGGCCCCCATAACAGCTGCGGTTCCCCTATGGAGTCTCTGTGAGGTGACTTAACCTGTTCATGCTCCAGGAGTTTTGTAGGACCGTGGGTTTATGGAAGAACTCAAGAGCCAGAATCTGAGAGCTGGGCCTTATGATGGCAGAGCCCTCCTGCCTCCGGGAGCGTTGAGTCTCAGGTGGCATGGGGAAGGGGTCTCTCGAAACCCCTTAATCTGTGCCCTCACCTTCAAGTGTCCATCTCTCATAGACACCCCAGACATTACCACAAAGGAGACGACCTGGCCGATAAAGGTTTACCTCGCCCCTTAGTCTCCTGCCAGCAGAGCCCCACAGGATGAGCCCTAGGAGGGCATTATCGGCTCTGCCTCCTCATCGAGAACAGTGTTGTCCCAGATCTCTCGAGAGTCACCATACACAACCCCCTTCATTCACACACACCTCTCCAGACTCTTCAAGTGCATTCACATTTTTCCCCGTACTCCCACTTCACGATAATGTCTTCTATATTTCAAATGGGTATGACCAGTTATTAAAGATCTCTTGAAGAAACCCAGAATTGCATGAGAAAGTAAAGAAAGCCTCCCTTATTGAACCAACCTGATGCCAAACAGTCCTTACAGTTGATAAGTGATTCCTGCCCCTTTTTGCCTCACCTGTATCTCTATCTGTAGAGTTTCAACCTGTTTCAGCGTTTTCTGAGAGCTAGAGGCTGCCTGATGGTTCCAGAAATATATATCACTGGAATTTGAAGACAGCACGTCCAAAGGGCAAAGGCGGGCCCAGAATTCAGGCTCTGCCCGTGAGGCATCAAGCTGGCCCCAAAGGAGGATTTAAATGTGCCCCAAAGAAGACTTGAAACACAACCCCAATGGAGCCTTTCCTGAGTTCAAGGGCCAAGGCCTGGGTTCCGGTTTTCCTCACCTGCCCTATGGGGATGATAGTAATGCTAAGTAGTGCCCTCCTCAGCGCTGTGGTGAGCATCAAAGCAGCAGATGCATAGGCAGGACAGGCGTGTAGAAAGTAAGTCGGTGACCGGTAATGATCCTCGGTCTCTGTGATACAAGAAGTGTAGGTTAGGCCAGTGGGTCACAAAGACCATTCTGGTGAACTGGTGACTGTTTGACTTCATTAAAAATCACTTGGGATGGGGCGCCTGGGTGGCTCAGTCGTTAAGGGTCTGCCTTCGGCTCAGGTCGTGATCCCAGGGTCCTGGGATCGAGCCCCACATCGGGCTCCCTGCTCGGCGGGAAGCCTGCTTCTCCCTCTCCCACTCCCCCTGCTTGTGTTCTCTCTCTAGCTGTCTTTCTCTCTTTCAAATAAATAAAACCTTTAAAAAAAAAAAAATAAAATAAAATAATAATAATAAAAATAAAAATCACTTGGGGGATCATCTTAGAAATAAATTCAGTTTCTTGGGCCCCAGCCCTGGAGATTCGGACTCAAGAATCTGGGGCATGGGCCCAGGAATCTGCATTTGGACACATTTCACAGGTCACTCCTGTTATGTAGCCACATTTAGCAGCCAGTGGGCCTGGGGACCTCAGTGGCCCCTCCAGCTCTGCTGTCGCCGGACGAGGTTGGTCCCCTCATCCTCCTGCTGGGAATCCTCCCCTTCAGTCGCCTCTGTGCTCTGGAGAGCCAGCTGAAAGGACTCGTCCCTTTACCTTGGCTTGACTAGAAATATCCAATTCCCAGTTCGTAGCCATTATGTAACCGGGGTTAACTGAAGTCCCACCGTGCCCAGTCGCTGGGAGAGTAAAGGGCCTACCGCAGGATTCAGGGGAGCAGGGCCTGGCATGAGACCCTGCCTGCTCTCACCTGACGAATGGCCCAGTTTTCAGCAAGCCTGCTATCACCTGTAAAATTGGAATCGCTCGGGTCCCTTCCTAAACCCAGTGGTGTGAAATCACTGTGAGCACGGACTTTGTGTTCAGAGAGCACAGCATTTGATAAGTAGGAGGATGCGGGACCAGTTGGTTTTCTTCCCGCACCCCCCCCCAAAGCCCAAAATCTTAAGTGACAGCAGCTGCATTTCATTTTGCTGCACGAGCGCCACCTGCCATTGGCAAGAGCACGTGAAATGCGTGTTTGGTGAACTCCGGGTGGGAAACAGGGATTCTAGAGTCTGTGAGGCGCTGTCCCCACCACCCCCCTTTGAGACCTCCGAGATCTTCAGACTCCTGATTACCTACTGTCACATCAACCTCGTCCACTGAGGAGAGAAAGAGGCAGCTTTGTAGCTTTGTCCCCCGACACACTGGAAGGGGTGGGCCCTGGGTATGTGGGCACTGCCCAGGGCTCAGGTGCCCTCAACAGCGTAACCAGACCTACTCACCGAAGGACAGTGCCTTACTTTAAACCAGTGTCACCTTTCTTTCCTGCCAAGGCTTGAGGGCGATGAGCCTTTTCAGCACTGGGACGTGGCAGCCATGCTTCGTTTACGCCGAGGCGGAGCAGGGAGGGCTCGCCTGCCTCAGCAGGGGCCGCACGGGAGTCCATGCCACTGGTAAATCTCGCCTAGTTGAGTCCCAGGAACCGCTTGTCAGTGACCCGTCCCCTCGCGCTGGCTTCTCACCCCAGAGCCGACCTGAGGCCCAGAAGCCAGCGCCCGCTTGCCGTAGTTAGCAAAGCCTCGCTGCCGCTAGAGAAGCCCATGTTTGTGATGTGCTGAGCCACCGAAAGGGGGGGGCACAGGTCCCCCAGACTTAGCCGCCTTCCCTCAGCACAAACCGCTGCCCGCTAGTCCTGGAAATGTGTGTGGTCAGACTCAGCCTAACTCGGGGTGAATTCATCATTTGCAACTTTGTTATGAAGACTTCTGATTATAAATTCGTCCAGTGAGTGGTGACCAGACAGGAGTGTGAGAGGGAAAAGAAGTGGTACCAGAAGATGACCTGCAGATGAGTCATCCCGTGACTCATTTGGTTCATTCAGCTAGACACCCTTCTGGATAATGGGGACACAGCCGCGAACAAGACAGAAAAATTCCCTGCCCTCATGGGGCTTAAAGAAAAGGGAAGGAAAGCTTTTTTGGGACCGGTTTCAGGTAAAATCAAGTCTTCATTCCTAAGGAAGCCCTCAACAATCTTGCATTGCAGAATCTGCCGGCGATAGGAGATAGTCTGCGTCTGAGGACCTCACAGCACTTCCTGACTATAGAATGATGTTTGCAAAGCAGCAAACCAAGCACATGTCACTAATAGATTACACGCTAGGTGGGGCGCCTGTGGGGCTCAGTCTGTTGAGATTTGACTCCCGATTTCAGCTCAGGTCCTGATCTCAGGGTCATGGGGTCGAGCCCCACATCTGGCTCCACACTCAGTGTGGAGTCTGTTTGGGATTCTCCCTCTTCCTCTCCCACTCCCCTTCGCTCTCTAATAAACAACTAAATAAATCTTTAAGTAAAATAAAATATTACACACTAGGCATATGGTGCTGAGAAAGTCCTCAGTCCAGTGGGGAGAGATTTGGGAAGGAGGTGAGGGTAGAGAGGTCAGTGGGGTAGGACCCAGGCGGGGGGGGGGGGGGGCCCTTCGAGGGCAATAGAGAAGTTACCAGATCTCCCTACATCTAGTCCTCCTCCTGGCTGAGTGGGTGTCTGAGCACCGCTGGGTCTTAGCATGGTGTTTTTAAGCAGGCTTTCCTGCTGCAGAGAAGGCCAGGCCCCCACGTTTCTGGCCAAATGGTGTGTATATTCTTTCTTTTGCTCTGAATGGGCGACTCCAGACTGTGGATGCATTTATGACAGGAGCAAGGGGCAAGGGCTGCCATTCATACAGTCCTTCTATCCAGTTACCCCTTCATCAAACCTGTGTTTACAGTGGAAGAGCTGTATGACAGTTTTAGCAATCAGTAATTTTGTATCAGAGCCAAGCGAAGGGGGAGAATCCGCTGAGTTTAGACAAAACTCTGTGGGCAGAACTCCAACCTAGGACACAGCTTGGCTTTTCCACCAGTGGGCTGTGAAGCTGACCAAATGGCTTGCCCATGGCATCTTGGGGATTTTTGCTTATTGTTTTTATTGCTAATTTTTTTCTATCAGAAAAACGAGGGTGTGTGACAGACCCTTTCACTTAGTAATCGCATTCCTATAAAAGTACATCCTAAGGGAAAATATCCTGATCAGGCAGAGAGCAGGTTAGTGAGTGGCCATCCCTACCTTTGTCTGAGCTCCAAGCCCCATCCTGCCCCAAAGCTAGGCGGCAATGAAGGATTCTGGACCCAGTCCCCAGTACAGAGATGGTTTTCTTTTGCCTGCACTCTCAAGCTGACCTCTCTGTCCCGGAGCCCCCTTGCCTGGGTCTCTCGGGTCCAGAGGCTCCACTCTCCTTCCTCCCAAAAGCCACACTATTCAAGGCTGGTCTTGGTTTTGCCTCCACTACGGTATGACTCTCTTGTAGGGCTAAGCTAGAGATAACCAGCACAGGTCCAGCATGAGAGATAATCGTAAATTATGATCCACAAAATACAGTGGCAAACAAGGAAGATTTTATATTTTAAAAATCAAGAAAATATGTAACATGACTGAATGTATATATTAAAAGTAGTGAGGGGGGCGCCTGGGTGGCTCAGTCAGTTAAGCGTCCGACTCTTGATCTCAGCTCAGGTCTTGATCTCAGGGTCGTGAGTTCAAACCCTGTACTGGGCTCCATGCTGGGCATGAAGCCTACTTAAAAATAATGATAATAAAATAAGAAGATGGGGGGAAATGTAGTGAGGAAGGCAACCATGTAAAAGTATGATAGTAGGGTGGAGGAAATGGGAAGTCCTACTTTAATGGATATAGACCTTCAGATTTGCAAGATGGAAAAGTTCTGGAGATCTATTACACAACAGTGTGAATATACTTAACACTACTGAACTGCATATTTAAAAATGGTTAAGAAGGTTAAAGATTTATGTGTTTTTTACCACCATGATTAAAAATTAAAAAGAAAAAAAGATTGTAGATGGGCAAAGCCTGGAAGAGAAACTCCCCTCCCCAAATAAAAGGTTTTCTTACATTGGTGTGGTAACATTCCGGGAAAATACTTAATGTACTGTGATTTCGCAGTTTTGTTAGCATGTTGCTTTCAAGGTGTGTTTTAATATTGCCTACATCCACACCCTGTAAATTCATCACTTGCCTTAATTTGCAGCATGCCTGCCTTCTTGTTCCTTTCTGGACTGTTAGAGTTACGGACACCTAGTCTCACAGAACCTCTCTCCTACTGTCACTCTCCATGTCTTCTCGAAGACTCCAGAAAAGCGGTTTGGCCACTCTCATAGCCTCTCAGCACTCTGAGATCTTACCTGAGTCAGATTTGAAATCTTTCCCCAGCTCATTCTCTTCATTTTAGTCAATGCTTGGTCCACTCTCTTCAGTTCATTTTAGTCAATGCTTGGTCCGCTCATTGTGCAAAATATGAGTTGGGAAGTTGAGCTTTTCTCTGAGCAGCCCCCAAGCGGCATGAAGCGGTTGGCTCAGCTCTTCCTTGCCCTAGTGGATTGCCCTGGACGTAACTATAGATGCCTGTTTCATTTGGACCCTCTTCTAAATGATTTAAAAATCCATCTCCTGGGGCGCCTGGGTGGCTCAGGCGGTTGAGGGTCCAACTCTTGGTTTCGGCTCAGGTCATGATCTCAGGGTCATGAGATTGAGCCCCGCGTGGGGCTCCATGCTCAGTGGGGAGTCTGCTTGGGATTCTTGCTTTGTTCCCTTTACACTTCACGCACATCCCCTTTCCCAGAACCTGAATTTTTTTTTTTTTTAGATTTTATTTATTTATTTGACAGAGAGAAAGCGCACAAGCGTGGGGAGCGGCAGGCCTGGAGGGAGAGGGAGAGGGAGAAGCAGGCTCCCCGCTGAGCAGGGAGCCTGATGCGGGACTTGATCCCAGGACCCTGAGATCATGACCTGAGTCAAAGCCAGCACCCCGAAACCGAATTATTTTAAAGCAAATCCCAGGCATCATATCATTTCATCTGAAAATACGTCATTAGTTTGCACTAAAAGACTCTAAGGACTTTGTCTTAAATATAACCACAATACCATTATCATACTGAGAAATGAATGATTCCCTAATATCCCATTTCTACTCAGGGTTCAGATTTCCTTGATTGTTTCACAGAAGTTTTTTAATGGTTGGCTTATTCGAATCAGGATCCACATAATGCCTATACATTGCATTTGTTGATCTGTCTCAGAAGTTTCTTTGAGTCTCTAGATTCCCCTCCGTGATCTCCTTCCATATGTTGTTATTGGTCTTGAAGAAATCAGGCCTTTTAAAAAATATATGGAATGAATGTATTTATAACACATTACTCTTGATTAGGTTTTATTAAGCCAATATAAAATTAAGTTTCAGTTTTGCAATTTTATACCCAAAGGTGGTGAAAGCCCCTACGTATGCTGAGTGGTAAAGCAGAGATGCTAGGAATCCGTGTCCGCCAGCACTGAGCGAGATAATGGTTGTAGCATCCTCATCCTGGTCCTCCTTGAGCCCTGGGCCCCCGGGGTCCCCAGAGCCTTTCAGGGAGTGGCCCCTGTGGTGGTCGTCAATCTCGAGATCCTCTGCAGTGCTGGGGCTTTCATGTCTTACATGTATGACCAGCCCCCCACCCCACCGCCCTGCTTCCTTCCCTCTGCATCCCCTCCATACGCAGGACATACTAACCAAAACAGTTAGGAAGTCAGCAAAGGCAGAAACAGCCCAGGGCCAAAGAAAGCTGGGACAATGAGACTGTCAGCTCTCTGAGGAAGGGGAGCCTGGGTCCAACGTCAGAGGACGGGGTGCTGGCAGAGGAAGCAGGTTTTGGTTCGTGGATCGGGTGACTTCCCTCCTCCCTCCTTGCTCAGACCATGAGGTAAGGGTCCAGATCCCTGCCTTAGTCGGGGTCCTGCTCCCGGTGATCTGGCCCATCCTTTCTATTTCTGCAGTGTTTGGGGAGCCCCTCGTGCATTTATAGAATGGCCTTTTGACCTTTGAAGGCAGTCTTAGTCTTCCCTCTGAGCCTTAGCCCATGGTTTAGGAGCATGTCACAGACCATGAAAGCCACAAACCCTTTCACTTTTAACCTCCCATTACCTCTTATTTTTTAACCACAATATTACAGGAAATGTTTGCCATTCCAAAACTGAAATGTGGCAGCCTTGGGGAAATGACTTTATAAACTGCCTGGATTTTTCGAAAATACCTGTGAACCACCCACTCCCCTCTTTGGCCATCTGGGATATGAAACCGATGGATGATGTGTGGGAATGGTGACACCCAGATTCATTCCCAGGGCTGGAGCAGGCCTCGAGACTCAGCCATCTGCAAAGTGGGGGTTAGCATGGACTCCGTGGCAGCTGTGGGTTCACATGCAGGGAAGAGAACACTGAGTGGGAAGGGCTGATCCAGGGTTGGGGGAGCGGAGGGGGGCAGAGTAGCACATTACCATTTGCTCACCTGCCACATGGCCAAGGAAATCTGCCATGCCGGCACATAGAGAAAGTTGCACCTTACTGCCCTGGTGTGACCCGCAGCCGGTCTCTTGACCTCTCTGAGTCCATGGTGGTCTCCTAATCTGGAGTGGGGAGAATATTACCTGCCTAGTACCGCTGCCGGGGTGTCAGGCGATGACCCTCATGTCAGGTAGGCCGAGTCACACACTAGCTCTAGGGGCAAAAAGACTTCAGAACCATCCCCGGCAGCCACGCCCAGAAGGAGTGGATCACCGCTCTACTTCTTCCGTTCCCTTGCCCCTTGAATGTTCTAAGGCTAATCCAAAGAGAGCTCAAATGGGGAGCCTGGGTGGCTCAGTCAGTTTAGCGACTGCCTTTGGCTCAGGTCATGATCCCAGGGTTCTGGGATCGAGTCCCGCCCGCATCGGGCTCCCTGCTCAGCAGGGGAGTCTGCTTCTCCCCCTCCCCCTGCTCATGCTCTCTTTCGCTTACTCTCTCTCTTTCAAATAAATAAGTAAAAATCTTAAAAAAAAAAATCAAACAGCTCAAATGGTATGATTTCCCTTTGCTTCTCAAACAGCAACAAAAGAAGTTCTTTTAGGTTTTTCCCTGCACTGTGCCTCTCCACACCCACCCTCCCCTTACACGCTCCCGTTATTAAGCCAGAAAAACCTTCCTGCAGAGGAGGAAGCCGAATAGAGGTGTTCAAGCACGAGTACTGGCAGGTTCTGTGACAAAGAGAAGGCCACTGTGCTGGACGAGGGTGTCGGGACTGTCACCCCCCCAAAGCCTGTGCAGCTAGAGAACTTTCTCGCTGGGGCCTCACGTTCAGCAAGGCTCTTTTGGTGTCTCCATCCGTCTCTACGGAGAGTCTGAGTCCACGCGCAGAAACCCGTGTTTCGGGGTCGGGAGCCAGCGCCGCTTTCTCCGGGGTAGAAGTGCTTCGAGCACCTTGTCCAGGGTGGGGGCGCCCGCGCGTCCCTCCAGGCGTGGCCTCTCACTCTGGTCTGCCGTTCTTTCAGGGCCCAGGAGACCTTCATGCAGTGGGATCAGTGCCGACGCTTCTATAACTTCCTCATGGCTGACAACATGAAGAAGATCATCCTCTCGCACAGGTACCAACCCTCCCACGTTCCCCCAGGAGACGGTTCCTTTCTGAGCTTATTTTCGAGTCACTAAAAGCCAGAACTCTGGTTTCTCCAGAAAAATGTAATGAAGGCAGGGGTGCTTCTGCTTCTCTGCCGGCTGCTTTGTGACTTGCTTAGAAACAAACTTGTCCCGAGCTGCCAAATCCACCAGATCGCATCCTGCCTTCATGATTCCCGATATATCCAACACGAGAAACCCTTCTACACCATTCTTTCCCCAGTTGGAGCAATCCTGAGGGCGGCTTGTCATGGTTTAGGAACCTTTCTCCTTGGGCTACTCTTGGGCTGAAGGATCAAGCATCGTCATCCTCTGTGGGCTCGTGGGGCTCTGATCAGCAGCTGCAGGACAGGAGTCTAGCTGCTGGGCACCACATAGTGTCCACACTGCCCTGTTCACACCTCTGCATGTTCCCCATGCTCGTCTTGCCTCAGTCCTGCTCAGAATCCTCCGTGGGGTAGCCTCTGACCACTGCTTGGAGAAGTCAATAAATATTAGCGATGGTTTTATTGTTATGATTGTTATTATGGATACCGTCCCTCCCGCTTCCCCCGCACCTGCCTTCCCTCTAGCTGGACTGGGCCACACGGAGGCTCACACGCCCTCTGGCCCCTCCCACACCACTGGGGCCTTGCCCAGAATGCCCCTCCCATCATGTCTGCCCACACTCTAGGTCCTCCGTGAAGCCAACTCCTCCACCCCCAAGTTGTGTTTCTGTCGCTTCCCCGGTGTGAATCCTGCATCTTGAACTAAACTGTAAAGCACTGGAGGGCCTGGGCTGGTTTTGATTTCCCCCAGAGCTTGGCACATCATGGGCGCTCAAACAATACAATTTTAGGTGGGGGGTTGATGTCATCCTGGGAAAGGCAATCTGACTGAATGATCACCTGCTTATTTATTTCAGTGGTTCAAAGAAAATAGGGTACTGCCCATCCCAGCCAAGCACCCCAGACTGGGCTTCCTGTGGGCAGGGTTCACGGGGAGTCTGGGCAAGGCTGATGCTCGCAGGCTCCTCAGGCTGCCAAGCTGCTGGGTCCTTGTGACGGGTGGGTGGAGGACAGGAGACGTCTGTCCCCTGGGCTCACTGGATGTAAACTGTCTTCTCTCAGCTCATGGTGTTTGGGCCCTGAGTCAGGCGTGGCTCAGGTGAGGTTCAGATGGGACTGGAGGTTTGCTGAGGTTCCAGAAGGGACCAAGCCAAGCCTCTGACACCAAGTGCCTCTGTCAGCCTCTCCACACCTCTGGAATGGGAAGCAGTTTCCTCCCAGAGAACATTTGTTTTGCTACAGGGCCCAGTCTTGCCACTAATTAGTCCAGAAGGTCCAACATGTAATTCTTAACAAATTGAGAGAGTCCTCTGAATGTGTTCTAGGTGTATCTACATTTTTTAAATTTACTACAGACAGCGAAATATTTAGAAATTTTAGGGCCACTTTAAGCTGTGAATTCTAAACTCTGGCTATATAATCTTCCCAATAATCTTTGAGGGGAAAAATGCTAAGGAGATGTGTTCCTCTTTGAGAGAGGCTGTGAGTAGATACCAGAACGTTTAGTTTCCATGACGACCTTTCTCACCATTGGGCCAGGCCGCAAACTCAGTCCTACATCAGCTGTGTGCCTGAGACCTCGCAGGGAATGAAAAGTCTAAATGTGCACATTTTGATCCCTACTCTTATTATCATCCTCTCAAGATGGATCTTTTTCTTAAGAGAAATGATGACTCTTCTGAGTATACGTAAGCTTTTGAGCTGACATGTTGGAGAGCCATTGACTTGCCCCAACACTAGATGGGTTTACCGCTGTCTTTCTTTTTTTTTTTTTTTTTTTAAAGATTTTATTTATTTATTCATGAGAGACAGAGAGAGAGAGAGAGGCAGAGGGAGAGGCAGGCTCCCAAGGAGCAGGGAGCCCGATGTGGGACTTGATCCCAGGACCCTGGGATCATGACCTGAGCCGAAGGCCGACGCTTAACCATCTGAGCCACCCAGGCGCCCTACCGCTGTCTTTCTTGTTAACTGACAAAAACACCTCCTCAAGAGAAAGGGGCAGTGTCAGCTCCAGTGTGAAGCCAGGCCCCCACAACCGTAGATGAAGGCCCCCACACAGTTTGGCTGACCACCTCCCACTCACCGCAGAGCCCATCCTAAGACCTCCCCTGCAGCGAAGGATTTGTAATACAGTCGACCCTTGAACAATGCGGGTTTGAACTGTGTGGGTCCACCTGTACGTGGCTTTTTCTCAGGCCAGTGCCATAAATGTATTTTCTCTTCCTTATGATTTTCTCAATAACGTTTTCTTTTCTCTAGCTTTCTTTATTGTAGGAATACAGTATATCATACATGTAATATACAAAATATGTGTTAATCGACTATGTTATGGGCAAGGCTTTAGGTCAACAGTAGGATATTAGTAGTTAGGTTTGGGGGGAGTCAGAAGCTCTATATGGATTTTTGACTGTGCCACAAGTTGGTGCCCCTACCCCTATATTGTTCAAGGGTCAACTGTATTCACCTAGGCTCAAACCCAGTCTCTGCCTAGCTGCCCCTGAAAAGGAAAAGAAGATCTTGACAATCATCTTTTCACAGTTATTCAAAAGTCAACATTACCGGCTTATCCTCTGGGACATGCTGAAGGCTGAAGGGATCTATTTCTACCTTGCGCCCATATGCCTTCCCAAAGACTCTCTCCTGGCTTGCCTCTGGGCCAGGAAGCAGGCTCTGCTGTCGGTGTTTATCATCCGTTCTTTAAAATATTTTTCAGCTTTACTGAGGTATAATTGACAAAATTGTCAGATGTTTCAAGTGTACAACATGATGATTTGGTCTATCGTCTGCTTTTTATTCTGTCTACTGTTGTGTCTCATTCTAGGCAAGCTCTTTTTGGAGACCATGTTAAGAAACCCCAGAGCCTGGAGGACACAGACTTGAGCCGCCTCTACACTGCCACATCCCTGATGCAGATCGATGACAACGTGATGAGGTATGCACATGCTCGGGGACGGGGTGCCGGGCGGGAGGCTGCAGGCCAGCACTGCCCAGAGCGAGGGCTTTCTTCGCCCACTTTAGTGTTAAAGGGTTTTTTTGTTTTGTTGTTTCTAAAGATTTATTTATTGAGAGAGAGAGAGAGCACACGGGGGAGGAGCAGAGGGAGAGGGAGAGAGAAACTCACGCAGACTCCTTGCTGAGCGTGGAGCCCAGCGTGGGGCTTGATCCCACGAACCACGAGATCATGAGCCAAAACCAAGAGTCAGTCGCTTAACCGACTGTGCCGCCCAGGGGCCCCAGGGCTTTTTTTTATTCTTTGAATAAATGTCTGGTGTTTAAAAAGTGAAGATCGCACAGAAAAATCCAGATTTCTAGTTGCTCTTAGAAAACAAGGGGAGGATCTCACCGCTCATTCTGCACTCTTGTGTGGCATAACTGAGCTGGAACTGGGGAGCTGGGGTGCGTACCCCCTACTGTCCTTACCCTACCTGCTGTGCTCTGACCCTGGGGCAGGGATCAGTTGCCACATAATTTGCATTGGCAGGAAAAGGAAATATTTCTTGTACCTGTCCATGTCTCTATCAAAAGTAAAACAAAACGAAAAAAAAAAAAAAAGACCAAGAGGGCTGGCTGTTGCGAGAAAACAGAGCCTCTTTCTTTGGGGGCAAGAAGTCTCTCCTCTGAGTGTCCTATGCAGACCCCGCCCACTTTGTTCCTTTCCCCTTCACCTGTCCGCCCCCTTCAGGCACCTGAGGCTGAGACCCTGACAATGTCCTCTTCCCTGGTACATGTAATTTCTGATTGAGCTTATTGAGCTTAGCCTTAGCTGGAAGAAGCAACTGTTGATCTCTGACCTCACTGTCAGAATAGAACAAAACCACCAGTCAGAAACCAGAGGCCCTAAGGTGTGTCAGAAAGAGGTTTCCAGAGATCCTCCGGCCTGGGGCTGAGTTGGCCCACTGGTGTCAGAGCTCCAGGCTGAACAGAGCACAGGGCAGAGCCGAGTTGCTGGACTTCCGGGCGGGAACAGGGAGGGTTCTGTTAAGTCTCTCTGACTACTGCTCCATGAGTTTGCGGAATTGGCAACTTTGAATCTCTGTCTCACATCCATTACCTGAGACACGTTTCTTTCCAGTTCACAGGGGTCGGGGTTCCTCTGCCAGGAAGAATTCTGTTGAAGAGAAAGTTCTCGTAAATGCCTTTGAATGTCAGTTTCCTAGTGTCCACAGTCCTCTGGTTTTATCCTGACTCGAAGGGTGTTAACATCTGCTCGTAAATACTGTGGATGGCATTTCCTGAGTCACGACTGTGGGCCAGGCACTTAGGCTTTGTCCTTCTCCTTTGCGTGTGTGTGTGTGTGTCACAGGAAGTTCCACGGCTATAACTCCCTGAAGGAATATTACGAGGAGGAAAGCTGCATGCGGTACTTGCACAGGGTGAGTGGTGGCAGAGCTCGGAGCGAGCAGCCTCTCCCAGTCAGTGGCCCTTCCTCCAGCGAGCACACGTGCACCAAGCACGCTCCCCAACACCCTTGGTGGAAGAATCGGGCTCGGACCCCTGCAGCTGTTGGCTTGGGTTTTGTTTCTGAACCAAACCCTGTCCCTCTGTGACCGCCGTATATTAATCCCAGAGCTGCCCCTCGGTGCAGAGCGGGACCAGTCTGCTCCTATGGCTGTGAAAAAGCCCTGGAAATTGCCGCAACACCCATTTGTCCCTCAGTCTCCCTTTAGCAGTGAAATCTTTCCCCCTTCCTGCCATGGCTCCTCATAGATCTGTGTAGATTTCCTGCAATCTTGGACCCTTGTTTTGGCCCCTGTGCATTTTGTTAGCGTGGTGGCTAGGACTAAACTCAAGGCTCCTGCCATGATCTGGTGAGCGCAGAGGAAAACAGATGTATTTCTGTATCCAAATGAGGAGGAACAGGTCTGTTGACAAGGTAGACTGGCTTATATGAATGCAGTTTTCAGCAGCTGCAATCAACTCAGAGTGGATTCGGTGAAGTCTGTGGCCAACCATAAACTCCCTATGTTTTTCACCTGCACCACCACCAAACCGGTCTTTCATCATTCTTTGTACAGGTGCTCCTTTTACTCAAACACAGGACTTCCCATTTATCCCCGTCAGTGTCCACCTGCTGGTTTGGCCCACCGCTCACCCAGTGGAAGCAGGTGATTGTGAATTGCAGTCCTGCCATCTGCCGTATTGGCCACCCCCTCCCCCCACGCTCAGTTAGCATCATCCCCCAGGCTTTGGGCATCTTCCTTTAAGCCACTACAGCCGTTGAGCTGCCTAGAGCCAGTGTTAGAGGCCTCTGGCTCGGCACAACCAGCCCTGTACTCCCCGGGCCTCAATGTTCAGGAGCGTCTGAGTGCCCCCCATCACCCTGTCTGCACTAAAAGGAAAAAGCCTGTCTTACTAAAATGGATGTTGACTGCTTCCCAATATCCACCAGCCTCCTCCTGTTTCTCACCTTCAGATTCCTCTAGAAAGTCTCCCTTGTCTGGAGAGGAGCATATTCCCATTTTTCCTCCCCCACAGAATAAACGGAATGAATAGGTACATAACTCTTCGTAAGGTCATTTTTCTGAAAGGTAGGCTAACCTGAGATACTGTGGAGGATCATCAGAAATATTTTGCCAGGGAGCCCCACTGAGCCCTGCCCTCACTCCCTCAGAGCACGTGGGTCACCTAGAACACCAGGAGCTTTGCTCCTGTGCCCCCCTGCCAGGCAGCCACGAGAGCACATGGTTAGGATTCATGCCGCTGCCCGGGAAGACGGGGCACCCTCAATCCACCCGTGCAGCAAACTGAGTAGCGACCCTCTTCCCTTTGCTTCAAAGACGTGGCCGATAGTGAATTTGAGCCTTGAATCAATGGCGTCTAAAACAGGGGATCGATCGTTTATTTCTGCCTTACTTTCTTGTTGCAGATCTATGTGCCTCTCATGCTGGTTAACGCAGCTGATGACCCCTTGGTGCACGAAAGCCTCCTAACCATTCCAAAATCTCTTTCAGGTAAGTGTTCCTCCCTGCTGCTCCCTCGGCCACTCAGCACATTGCCCTGGTAAATTCTGTCACCTTCACCCTGCCGTCACCTCCTGAAAGCCAGCTTCTGTGGGGAAGGACATCCCGTGGCAGAGTTCTCATTCAGCCTGGCCTCATAGTCCTGGGGCTGTGATGGGGCCTGGGCAGGGCCTTCTCCTGTCCTATCCTGGTGCCAGAGACGACCATCATTTATATCCACAGCCAAGAGGGGTTTGGGGGGAGTCCCCTGGTGTTCTCTGAAATTATCGTGTCAGTCTTAGGGTTCCATTAAGTCTGAGAGTTGGACTTAGATATTTCGGCTTAAAACCTGACATGAAAAGCAAAACAGAAAAGCCAGTTCTACTACCTCTTCTGACAGACAGCCTCTCCATCTGCTTTGAGGATTAAAAATATAAGCAACTGAGAAAGCAAAGAACGTTGCTCATGGGAATGTCACTGCGCTTCAGGCCGGCCAGGGCTCGCTGCACGCTGGAGAGGAGCTGAGGGAGGAACGAGAGGGGGGCAGCCGAGGGAAACACTTGGGAATTCCTGCAAGGACACCTTGCGCTGCGATTCAGATCCCCGCCCTCTGTAGCCCCGTGTGGTTACGTCTCCCTTGTAAATATCCTGTGTATTCACCAGAGCGGGGGGCACTCCTGGTTCTCCCCAACCCCAAGCTGGAGGAGTACATAATACGGCGGGCGGAGCTCGGGGCCCTGCTCCGGGGGGGTGTTGTGTGTGATGCAGGTGTGTTGGGTGCTGAAAGCCGGCTCTCGTCAACCCGCTAGCAAACCGTAGGCTCCCTGCGCAAAAGCGACCGGCTCAGCCGCGCTCGGCCATGAGAGAGAGCAGCCGTGCGATTTCCTGCCGATGTCCAAAGCAACACCCATAGCTCTCATGCTGTCACGCAGAATTTATGAAATAATAACTGAGAGGGAAGAATAAGGGGGAGCAGACGAGAAAAGGGCCCTGCAGAGCCAGAACCGTGCGTGCCAGGAGGGGCCTCCACTGAATTGACCTTGTTCTCTAGTAAATAATAGCATAAATGCCAGGAATCCCTACTCAAAGCCTGGCCCCCCACCCATGGCACCTAGCATGGGCAATCATCTGGGAGCTTGTTAGAAATGCAAAATCTCAGCTCCTCCTCCGGGCCTATTAAAGCAGAATCTGCATTTTAAGGTGCTATCCCAGTGATTTGGAGGCACGGTGAAATTTGGGGAACATCTGGCTGTATCACTGAAATCACCTGGTCAGCTTTTGCAATACCAGTGCTCTCTATAATCTATGTCCAAGTTTGAGAACCACTAAGATTTCGAAGTGTTTCTTAAGCTGGTGCCCATTCTGCGCCAGAACCAAGCTGCTGCTCTGGTACTTGCTAGATCCCACTGCCCTGCCCAGCCCACCTAATCTCCCTGCCGCTCTAGTGAACGAAGCTGAGTGGGTAGGAGTCAGATGCCCTCTTGCTGACCTGCACCTGTGGGGAAAGCCTGGGCCACCCCGGCCAGCTCGCTCTGGCCGCTCCAGCCCTGGAGCTAACCAGTCACTGACTCACTCCGCTGCCTCCCCCCCCCGCAGAGAAACGGGAGAACGTCATGTTTGTGCTGCCTCTGCACGGGGGCCACCTGGGCTTCTTTGAGGGTTCCGTGCTGTTCCCCGAGCCCCTGACGTGGATGGATAAGCTGGTGGTGGAGTACGCCAACGCCATTTGCCAGTGGGAACGTAACAAGTCCCAGTGCTCTGACACGGAGCAGGTGGAGGCCGAGCTGGAGTGAGGCCTCCTGGACTCTGGCGCGGTCCAGCCGCCTCCCCTGGAACCCGCGTCCCTCACCGGCTGTTTCAGGTCCCCCATCTCCCTCGGTGACCTGGATCTGACCTCACGCCATCAGCGGGGATGACCCACCAGGCACACCTGTGCCGGAGTAGGCCTCCGTCCCTGGGAGCTCCAGGCTATTTTTTGTGCTTAGTTACTGGTTTTCTCCATTGCATTGTTATCCATGGTGACAAGCGACAGGGTTCTCACCCTCCTGTCCACTCTCAGCGTTTGATTGCTTTTAAGCCAATTACATCTAGTTTCCCTATTAAAAATGTGTCTGAACAGCAGTTTTGCTTTGCCAATCAAAAAGGCTTGTCCCCAAGAGCAGGGAAGGATGTATATGCTATTTTGTGGTGGTTGTATGTGTCCTTACGGAGACCCTGGTGAGCCCTCGCCCATCTAGGCCGATGCTGAAGAGGCTGGTCAGCTTGGGAGCGAAGCACCTGGGCCCCCCACGCTGCCGTGTGGCTCCTCACGTGGCCAAGAAAGTTCCCTGGAGTCACCAGCCAGGTTCCTCCCTTACAGTCTCCTAAGACAGTCTCCCCACACCTTTGCCAACGATGAGAGTTACCTGGGGCACTTGTTAAAAATTCAGCCTCCCAGGTCCCTCCCCTGGGAGAGGCCCATACAGTGGGTCTGGGAAGGGGTCTGGAGATTTTAATTTTTGACAAGTGCCCCCGGTGATCCTCATCACAGGGCAAATTTGGGAAACACTGTTCTACTGCAGGGCCTTTCAATGAGAAACATCTCGGTAGCTCATTTTATGGAAATGTATGGGTAGACGTGTCCCTTAGCTCCCAGGGGTCTCCAAAGCAGCAGCCCCTGTCATGTCCAGCTGCCCTGTCGTGGCCACAGTGTGTGATGTCTCGGGAGAGGGCCTGGTGGGGAGGAAAGAGTTTGGGCGACGCCGGACTCTGCCTTTCCCTGGCTGTATGACCCTGGACAAGTCCCTCTGAACTTCCGTTTCTTCACCGATAAAACGGGGGACTTGGACAGGCGGATGGCCGAGACCACTGCCAGTTCGAATGATCCATGACAAGCTCAGCTTGCTGAGGTTTGAGAGAACATCCCTCCAGGGAAGCCTGGGAGTTACTCTCCTCGTCTACACCTGTGGATGTCATCGTTTGCCTTTTTTTTTTTTCCTGTCCCTCATTTTCATAGAAAGAGGTGTTTTGGGTTTTTGGGTTTTTTTAGACATTCAGTGGTAATTTTACTTTTTTAACCCAAGTCTTTCTAGCTCTGGCTTTTGATAACCAAACAATTCGAAAGCTGGATCTGAGTTTGGAGAAAGATCTTTCCAACCGAAAAGGGTGTTATTTTGAAACCAGATTTTTAATTTAATGGCCTATATTTATATTCTGTTAGATAGATCTTTCCAAAGTATGTCTTTTCAAATGAAAATGTTATTCGAGGTTTCAAGTACTCCTTTCCTCCAGTCCTGTGGTACTTGAATATCTAAAAACCCTGCACTTTGAAAAATCAGCAGTTGCTATCTGGAACTAAATGGAACTATGAGTGAAATTGCCTGGATACACTTTTTTCTTTCTTTTTTTTTTTTTGTTTTTAATGTCCTTGCTTCATCTCCTTTGCTCCAGGACAGATAGGATTATAAATAGTGGGTCTGTGTGGATGTTTCAGGGGTAAAGGGAGCCACCTGAGGGCCTGGATGCGCCCCTCACAGCCGCAGGTGGATGTGGTTTGGGTGTCGGTCCAAGTGACTATGACGGTCTGCAACCTGAAGTTGTTTTCTGACAATCACCAGATCATCCTGATCAATACCATCGAGAGCAGCCAGCGTCTCAAAAGATTGAGACTTCCGTGGTCCCCGGCATTTCTTTGTTGTAATCGCTCACACACACCAAATTCGTCATTGTGACTCCCTCCCCGCCCTCCCCCCCCCCCCACCGCAACCGTTATTTTTCTGGTGCATTTCCTTTCCATGTTCTTTTAGCACAAATTGGCACTTTATCATCTACCCCCTCGATTTGGAAGCTGGTCCCCTCCCCTCCATTGCTTTTCCCCCCCTCCAGCTGTAATCTAGAAGATTCATAGTCCTGTTTCCTACAGACCCTTTGTGCAAGTAGGTAAACAAAGCGGTAACTGAATGGGGCCAAAGCACCATCCCAGGAAGCAAGAGGGGCCTTTGCCTTTGCCTTAGGTCACATCTCTCGATCTGTTTTGACAGAGTAGTGGCCAGGTACCAGCTCCATTCAGGAAGAGAAAAGACAGTCCTGTTGTCGCACCCCGGGGGTTTGGCGGGGGACCAGAAGTCCCTGGGGCCCGGTGGAGGAGAGGCTGGGCCTGGGGCCTGGCCTTTGTCACCACACGACCGGAATTTACCCCACAGGACTGTGGGGGCCACTTCCCAGCTGAAATCTTTCTAGTATGTGACTCTGAATGGCACTCACATTCCATTTTGGCTCACATGAAATTAACTGAAGTCCTTTGTTCGGGCGTTAGGCTCTCAGGCATGGAAATGAGAATGTGACCGCGGCGGTCTTACAGGAAAATTCTTGTTTGTCCCTGAATGAAAGCACAGAGGCATTGAATTTACAGAGATGCAAACCTGCCTAATAAACAAGGGAGCGGCATTTTATATGTAGGTCAGCTTTTTCCTTCCTCCAGCTTTCTTTGCTTTTCTTCCTGAAGTCATTCATTCCGGATGATAATGGGAGCGCTCTTGCTATGAAGGTCCTCTTTGGCCTAACACAGGGCCGAATTTTCAGAGAGTGTTCGAATATTTTAAAAATCAGAATAAAGATAGAAGTTGCGTAGACCTAGACAATCCTATCGCAGGGGTTAACACATTAAAAACCAAGGAGGAAAAGCACCCACATTTCTTCTGGCCGTGCTCCCTGCCTCTCAAACAATTTGAAGACCACTAATGAGTAACGGATCCCGGCCAAATGAAGATTATCTAGAAAATGATGTCACGTCCCCTTGATACATTTTGTTAGGAGGAAGTTTAATAGACTTCAGGAAAAGCCCTTCTCTTCCCTGCTGTGATTCCAGAGCAGAATGAAAGCAGGAAGTTGTTTGTTGTCACTAGATTCTTTTAACCTCTCTGCAGCATTATGCACTTGCAGGGGGCCCTGTGACATACCCTAAGAGGGGAAATATGCCTTGAAAGAGGAGCCTTCCTTTCTTGACCCGGTGTTAGGGAGCCAGGGTCCAAGAGACCTGGGTTCTCATCCCAACTGTCTCTAATTCACGTTGGATTGAGGGCAATCACTTCACCTCGCTGAGCCCCAGTGCCCTCACCTTAGAGCAGCTTGAAGACCAGTCATCTATTTACACATCTTTTGCCTGAGCATTCCCACCTGCCTTCCATGGCCCTTGCAAGTGGTAGTGGCTCTGTCAAGGCTCCAGCCTCATCGGGGGGGGGGGGGGCTTGGAGAGAGAGAGCTTCTGCGTTAAGCCTTTGCCGGTGAAGCCCCTTGATATGACCCAAAGCCCTGTGTCTTTGAGTGGCTTCTCTTTAGAATCTCCGTTGCCATCTCAATATCCTTGCTGTCCCGAGGGTGGTCTTGTGACTGGGACAGGTGCTGACCATCGGAATAAGGCGAATGTCCCCAACCTTCCGTGGGACTCAGGCAGAGCGTTGAGATTCACAGTCCCGTTTCCCAGGGCAGAAATCCTTCCCGCTCGGGCTTTCATTCTGAAATCACAATCTTCCTTAAAGCTGAGCTCCGATGCCTGACATCTGAATGAGGGCTCTCTTTGTAACTGTGTGACTTGAGATCGCCTTTGCCAGCTCCAGAGAAACAATGCGTGGGTTCTTGTTTGTGTTTGCCAGGCAAGCAGATGTCTGAGGTGGGGGGGGGACTTTTCTTTTCCTGGGCCATCGATTCTTAGAGGCCAAGTAAAGATCCCTGGAACGTCACATGGAGCCCAAAGAACTCAGGGCTTTGTCCTCCAGGCATTTCTCACTGCAGCACGACCCCCCCACCCAGCATCATCTGGGCATTGTTCTCTGTGCCCGGAAAGCCTCACCTTGCCCCTAGAGGATCCCCTGGTATTCCAACGATACCGCAGCCCTGGAATTCAAATTCTCGTGCTGTGGTAGTTTGAAGCGAAGCCACATGAATCTCTTCATGTGGCCTGTATGCTCTTCGTTAGGCCAGGCACCCCCCACCCCCCGACAGTACGCATGATTCAGAACTGGCCAAATGTTTTGTCGTGCCCGCCCCCCCCCCGCCACCGCCGCCAATGCCTCTCTTCCTTCTGGGCCTCGCTCTGTCGTTCAAAGCCACTTTGGATTACTTGGAGCCTTCAAAAAGCCATGAAATGTGGCCTGTCTGTGGCGTTTAGAGGCCGAGCCATGGAGGAAAAGGTTTTTCCCTCCGTTATTTAAGCAGAAGGAAGGACCCCCTTCTTCATAAGCTAGGATTGCTTTTGCCAAATTGCACTCGAAGCTAAGGGCAGGGGAGCGGGCCCCTGCTAGCAGCAGAACTGGGAGCCTATCCAGAACAACCACGCTCCCCCTTGCCTGCCTCTCCGCTGCTGCCCCCCGGACGCCGCAGCCCAGCATCCTCCCCAAGCGGCCTGGGAAGCAGGCTGCAGAGTCCGGCTCGCCAGCCGTTCTCAGCCTGCCAGACAGTAGACAGATGCCCCTTCTCGAAGAGTCAGCCTCCCCCCACCCTCCTGAACTGATTTTCCTGGCATGTATGTGGGCAAAGCGTTCGTGTATCTCTAACGAACAGGCTGGAGTCCGTTTCGAACCAGGGGGTAAGTCTTCTACCTTGACTCCGGTCAGTTAGTAATGAAATCTAGAACCTACCTTCTCCCCATTCCGGTCCCCACTAGCCAAGAAATCTATTGCCATAAACTGGGCACAGTCCACTTCTAGCATCTGCAGAGAGACCCTTCATCTCAAAGGCCTGCTCCTTCCCGACCACCCACGCTGAGGAGGCCCCAGTCACTGAGCATAATTGCTGACCCCCTCGGTCCCAGCACCGGCCGCTTCTCCCCCAGACCGGTCCCGGGGACCTGGTCCATCCTGGGGGTAGGACTTAGGTTTTGTCTGGCTTGTCTGGCTTTTGTTTTGGCCTCTTCCGTTTTCCTAAAGCACAAGTCCACGTAGAGTCCTGTCACCTCTCCACACCAGTTCCAGAGATGATGTGGGTCTGTCCCACTGCCTCAGGAAGACCTTCACTGTACCTGAGCTCTGACTTCTGCTATTGCAGCTGCCTTAGCAATACCGGGGCGGGGGGGGGGGGGGGATGCCAGTTCCATCTCTCCTTTCCCTGGTGGGACTTGCTCAACCACGTTCTTCGGTTGGCAGCTCTGCCTCCACATTGATGTTTGAGAACCATCATTCTCACATTCCCAATTTTTGTTTGGTTTGGTTTGATTTTCTGAAACATCTGATGCTGCCCTGAAAATCATGTGTTTTTGAGTTTGTGTTCTGAAAGCCTCCATGCTGCCGGATTTGGGCGGAGGGATACAGGCTCCTCCAGCACAGGGGCGTATAAGATTTACAACTAGCAATGCAATTTTTTCTAAATATGAGGATATTTACCTTTATTAAGAAATGATCCTAAACATCGGTGTCCTTGGTCATTTTATGTTCTCATATTACTTTTGGCTCTGTTTTGATTCTGTGTGGTGGTAAACGAAGATCATTACAAACAAAAACTGTAATTTTGTTATCTTTGATTCAATGGAATTTCTTTACTTAAATAAAAGGCTAAAAATGTGGCGTGGCTGTGCGTCCTTTGTACAGCGGGAGTTTCTGTCTAAAAGGATTCTTCCTGTGCCGTCACCGAACGTGAGCTTGAAGGAAGCGGGCAAAACCACCAAGTTCTTATCACAAGTGATTTTATCCCAGCCGTACAAGCAATTACCAAAGAAATGACCAGCCCGCAGGTGTCTACACACACCCAACCTCTCCTGGCCAGAAAGCCAGGGCGTGAGATACCACCAGTAAAATCACCTGCTCTCCAAAGTGAACCTTGTAGATGAAATGCAAGGGGAGATGGAAATGGTGGTTGCCGTGCATGAAAGAATGTTCTTTGAAAAGACTGAGTGAACATCACCTAAGTTAAGATTATATTGGGTTGCGGGCGCCTGGGTGGCTCAGTCGGTGAAGCGTCTGCCTTCGGCTCAGGTCATGATCTCAGGGTCCTAGGATCGAGCCCCGTGTTGGGCTCCCTGCTCAGCGGGGAGCCTGCTTCTCCCTCTCCCTCTGTCCCTCCTCCCCCCCACTCGTGCTCACTCTCGCACACGTTCTTTCTCTCTCTCAGATACATAATAAAAATATATTGGGCTAGAATAATGTATATATTGGGTTGATGGTGGTGGTTTTTTCTCCTTCGTATCTGTCTGAATCCAAGCTAAGGGTCTTCCAGGGCCAGTGACTGGCCCCACCAGGAGAGTTATACTAGTCCATGCTCTCCCACCCAAGAGCTTTGCACATAGTTTTCTTCCCTCCTCGGCTATGCAAAACCTCTGACAAGTTGAGGGGGGCAGTTAGGGTGTTGGTTTTGGAGGATGTGCTTTAACATGACCTAAGAATGCCCACTATCCAATTTCACAGTGCATCCCATTCTAGTAAGCAAGCTTCCCCTGCTTCCTTTCCCCCGCAAAACCAGATTCTTTTTTTTTTTTAAAGATCTTATTTATTTATTTGAGAGAGAGAATGAGATAGAGCATGAGACGGGGGAGGGTCAGACGGAGAAGCAGACTCCCTGCTGAGCAGGGAGCCCGATGTGGGACTCGATCCTGGGACTCCAGGATCATGACCTGAGCCGAAGGCAGTCGCTTAACCAACTGAGCCACCCAGGCGCCCCCAACCAGATTCTTTTGATCCAAGAAAACCAATTTGTAAAGAACACTACCTATGAAAAGTACCATATGGAAGAGATCTCAGGTCCAGGGTCTTGGGTTGGTTGATGCCAGCAGCTTGCCAAGGTGGTCGGCACATTAGCTGAGCCTCTCCCAAGGCAACCCTATAGATCTGTGATCAATGACGTTTACCTACAGTCACTCGCCATCCCAACGGTGCTATATTTTACTATACCTTTCATCAAGAGACCCGTCTGCTCTAGCCCTCTGGGGGAGGACTTTACCATGGTAAGGACCAAACACCTAACTGGATGGCTGTGCACATGTATGACAGCCTTTCTCCTCATTTCTCTCTCGGGTGTCCCCCTTTGAGGGGGTTACCTGTATCTGCGTGGTTGGGAAGACATTACAGGCAGTTTGGCCTTGAACTGCGGAACTCTCCCCGAAAGGGGTTAAGGTAAACCGCCCCCCCTCCTTGTGACTATGCACACCCAGAAACTTCCTTTTGATTCCTGCTGTCTACCCCATTTAGAAATGCCCAGTATCTCTACCGAAGACAGTTCGGTTTCCTCTTAAAGTTACTTCCTCCTTTATCTGATGACGGTTGATGAAACGGACCTGGAATAAATGAAGTTCTAATTTCATTGTGCCTCTTCCCCTTCCTACCTACACCTCCCCCAGCCCCAGAAATAAACATCTGATGCAAAGCATGAGGAGTGATAGGGCCGAAGGGATTTGGAGCCCGAGGTGCTAGTCAAGGTCCCATCCTAGTCACTTCCCGGCTCTCTGATCCTGAGCAAGATTTTTTTTTTTTTTTAGATTTTATTTATTTATTCATGAGAGACAGACAGAGAGGCAGAGGGAGAAGCAGGCTTCCCGCGGAGCAGGGAGCCCGATGTGGGGCTCGATCCCAGGACCCTGGGATCATGACCCGAGCCGAAGGCAGATGCTTAATGACTGAGCCACCCAGGTGCCCTAGATGTTGGTTTTAAAAACTGAGAACCAATTGTAGTGGGCTGAATGGTGGCCTTCCCCCAAAATATATTCATGTCTGAAACCTGTGAATGTGACCTTATTTGGGAAAAGGGTCTTTACAGATATAAAATTAAGCTAAGGATCTTAAGATGAGCGGGTCATCCTGGATTAACAGGGTGAGCCCTATTTCCAATAACAGGTGTCCTTATAAGGACCCAGAGAGAAGACACAGAAGAGAGGAGAAAGCAATAGGCCACAGAGGCAGAGACTGGAGACACACAGCCACAAGCCAAAGAATAGTTGGAGGCACCAGAACCTGGAAGACGCAAAGAAAGATGAGCCTTTGGAAGGAACATGGCCTAGCTGACACCTTGATTTCAGATTTCCGGCCTTCAAAACTGTGAGGGAAGAAATTTCTTTTTTTTTTTTTTTAAGATTTTATTTATTTATTCATGAGAGACAGAGAGAGAGAGGCAGAGGGAGAAGCAGGCTCCCCAGGAGCAGGGAGCCCGATGCGGGACTCGATCCCAGGACCCTGGGATCATGACCTGAGCCGAAGGCAGACGCTTAACCATCTGAGCCACCCAGGCGCCCCCTGAGCAAGATTTAACCTCAGGTTTTTTTTGGGGGGGGGAGGTTGTTTTTTACCTGTAAGATGGGAATAATTATAAGAAGAATGCCTATCTCTGAATACTGAGAGGATCAAATACAAAAATATTTTTCAAAGTGAGAGTGTTATTTTGGGCAGCGGTTTGGCTTCGTCCGCTTGGTTCCCACTTATAAATCACTTCCGGGGACAGTGTAGAAACCAGAAGAAAAGAATGTGCGGCCCCAGCTGGGGTGTCTTAACTGCTGGGGCCAAGAGGAAAGCTGAGTTGGGCCCGGATATGGTTCTCAAAAACATTCCTGGGCTTGGCAGTGCTGACCAGCCACGTGGATGCATCATCAAATCCTGATCCCAATCTTTTCCTTCCTGAACATGGTCACCTTCAGAAATCAAGTGTACCCGCCAACACATTTCCTGCCTGAAGGCAGGGCAGCTTCTGGGCACAGCTCCCAGGGAAGATTCTGGGACAGATAGCATCAGCTGCTGCCTCCCCACAGGGGCTTTTGCAGCCCTGTTCCTCTGCCCTCTCGGCTCAGGAGAAAGAGCCAAGTGCAAAGTTTGCTTTTAAATCCTTAGATAATAAAACCAGCCTGAGTGGCTTCCTCCATATGTCAACACACAGGACTTGCAGCAGTGCACATCTGGACCACCTGGGAAGCTTGGAAAGCTCCTGATGCCCAGGCCTCGCCGTTTTAAAGCTCCCCAGGGAATTCCAGCCCACGGGGATCTCGTTAAACTGAAGATTTGAATTTAGCAGATCTGAGGTGGGGCCTAAAATTCTGCACTGCTAGCAAGCTCCCAAGAGGGACAGACACCACCGTCCCGGGACCCCACTGTTAGTAGTGAGGTTCCTGGGGATCCTGCGAGCTTCTTTCTCGACCCTGCACTGCCGAGTTTGCTGAATACCAAAGCCACACCCACACCATGGGAAGTGGGATTAAAAGATGGTCCGGTTCACCCCTCAGGTGACTCTTCAGCCCTTTTCCTGACTGGCTTAAGACCCGGCCTTCCCTCTTCCAGGAAGCTCTGCAGACCACCAGATAGCATTAGACTCCTCCGGCATCCCTTAGGGTAAACGAGAGAGACTGAGCAGTGCGGCCAGTCTCGTTCAAGGCTCTCTGAAGCTGGTGGCCTGTTTCCCTACTGGGACCTCCACTCACACCTTCACAAATTGCCTCCATCTGCTAACTGACAACATCCCCCAAAGGTCCATGAGAGGCTGGCAGAAATGCATCATTGTGACTTCGCAAGCCCTCACTTGGTTCTAATTACTTCTATGTGGCAGAATCCCAGCCTCATCCCAGATGTCTCCAGAAAGAAAGCCGTTCTGGGCAGCAAACGGCTGTCATAAAATTCATGTTTCGTTGTCCCCCTTCCCATACTTGGTGGCTTTCCAAAGAGTATTTTATTGTCCCTCTTCCTCTCTCATGAACGTGGCGGTGGTGGTCACATATAGGAATCCAGCATGCAGGCAGCTGGGATTTTGTGAGGCTGAGCATGGCTGATTTTAACATTAACATTTATGGTCTTCAAACACGTTCTCCCAAAGGGGGCACCACCCTTTCTGGACAGATAGCTGGCCCATCCCCCCACCTCTCTGTCATGCCCCGCTGGTCTCTGCGCCTGGAGGGGCAGTACCAGGGCATGACCGGCAGGGGGCAATGCCAGCCCACAGTCGGAGCTGACTCTCTGGGTCCCAACCCCACAGCCTCTTCCCCGACCAGACCACACTGAGCTGAGGTGCTAGCCCTTGCTGATTGTAGGGGCAACCCCAGCGTCCCATTTGGATCTGAGTGAGAGCCAAAGCCACCCAAAGAGCCTCCTGGCCAGCGTCTGCCTGTGGTTTTCTCCACATCCTGATCTCATTTGTAAATTAGAACCCCCATCAATCAGAGGGTGGGCCTGGGCTGCATTTACAAGGGCTCCTGGCAGTTCGGGACCAAGGGAAAGAAGTCATTCAAGAGGGATCAGCCTCTGTTTCCCTCAGATTTGGGATACAACTCTCTTGCAAGACAATTAGAAGTATATCCTGAAAGCTTTAAAAATTTCTTTAATTCAGCCTCACCCCCGCCCCCACTCTACCAACAGCTCTACCGTAGGGTCACCAACGCTCCCCATCCTGGCTAATGCGAGCCTCCGTTCTCTGATCACTTGACCCGTCGGCACCCCTGTAAGGGGTTCACGCCCTCATACTTGAAATACCTTCTTAGCTCCAGATGTTCTAGGAGATCCCTTGGGGTGCAACCAGAGTACCCTCACTCTTTTAGGCTTAACTACAAGAGTTCCATGTAAGATTTGATTTGGAAAAGGGGACCCTCACCTCCGAAGGGGT